TGAATAAGTAAGAATATCGTTTTCATATTTCACACATGTGTGCACTATCTGTGACGAGATATTTTCAAAAGCACTATATTTTTTGTCCCCGTGACTTTGGCCTTAAATTTTAACCATCATTTCTTTGCAAAGATTTTAAAATTTTGAAAAGGAGAACACATGTATACAGGTTTCATATTTTACATGAATAAATATATATATATATTTTTTTTTTGTAAAAGAGAGACAACTCCGATTAATATGTATACGAGTAATCAAGAAATAAAAAAGACGTTTTAGAATAATTATTTCAAAACATAAATGCACATAAATTTAAAGTGTAATTACATGTATATGAATACTAGCATGTTTTTTGTTGAATAAGATATACTTCATATACTTTTATGGAAATAAAAGAGCTGCAATGATGTTTTAAGACTCTTTCTCTCCCTCTCTCTCTCAAAGATAATAACAAGTTTCTGTACATCAGCAACATTAAGAAGATTTACGATCAAACAAAATCAAATGGCCATTCTTCTCTTTATTGTTGGCGAACACGCACACACTTCAAAAGCTCGGCTTCGTCGCGATCACAAGCAGCCGGTCCTGACAAGGATGATCAAACTATATCTTAACTAGTGCTAATTGTAACGGGGACCGTTACAGATGTTCCCCAAACGCTCCCCAACTCTCCTTTTGTGCCATATTACCTGTAAGCTTCATTAAATAAGACAAACTCTATGTATTTGAGACTTAAACAACATATACCCGGAAGTGTACGAAGTTCATTCAAATTTTAGCATTGCATTTAGCATGACCATATCATTTTGTCTACACAATCCATATACTTTAATATATTAAAATTAAAGTATTTTATCCAAAAGTAATAAAAAATACGCTCATTCAAGTGTATTTTTGATTTTGTTCATTTCACGTGCACGAACGTGCATACATAAGCACGGTGACCATACCTTCTTGTAGAAGTCCATTACATCTATCTATGTTCTAAATCCCACCCCATATGGTTGAAAACCAAGGGCGTTATACCTGTTAAAAGTTTCAGCCAATCAGATTGCAGCGCACGTACACGCACGTGTATGCATGTGCATGGTGACCATACCTTTCTTGTAGTAGTCTATTATATCTATCTATGTTCCAAATCCCATCCTGTTTGGTTGGAAACCGAAGGAGTTATAACTGTTTAAAGTTTCAGCCAATCAGATTGCAGCGCACGTACACGCATGTGTATCCATGTGCATGTTGACCATACTTTTTTGTAGTGGTTCATTATATCTATCTATGTTTCAAATCCCATCCTCTTTGGTTGAAAACCAAATGAGTTATAGCTATTTAAAGTTTAAGCCAATCAGATTGCAGCGCACGTGCATGCACGTGTTTTCATGATAATTGCTGTATATAATATTGTAGGATATCCTAATGCATGGCTATGTTTAAAATTTCAAAGCATTTCATCAAGAAACAAAAAAGATATTGAGATTTTTGTTTCAGCCAATCAGATTGCAGCGCACGTGCATGCGCGTGAGATCTTGCTATTTTGACCATGTCATATTGTCTATGCTACAAATGTATCCTTATATTATGAGTTCTAAAGCATTTCATCAAAAATTTAAAAAGTTACATCTATATCAATTAAATCTGTCATTTATCATGTTGCACGTGCGCGCTCTTGCAAGCACGTGCGCGCAAAATGACCTTCGTTCCGCAAATCTACATTACATGTCTACTGACCCTAAAAACATTTCACCTTAGTCTGATGTGTAGTTTACAAGATCACTCGCGGACAAAATTTTCCCAGGAAGAAAAATAATAAGAATAATAATAATAAGAAACAGAGTAAAAACAATATGTTCCCCAACTTCGTTTGGGGAACATAATTAAAACTTATTTCACTGATACATCATCAAAGTCAAAATTTTACCTGTCCTTATATTAATCTCATCAACTTTCCTGGATTTCAAGTGATTTGATATTTGATGTTTACGGGGAGATACCTTTGATTGAAAGATCATCGGACGGCAAGTAGAGACATAACCCTCCTTGTTCTGTCGTAAAACATACATGCTTTCCATAATTATGTACCTGTAATGGTTAGATATGTACGAGTATGTATATCGATTCCGTGGACATCTGAGGGACGAAAGTAATGCTCCGTTTACTGCATACCAAACAGTGAAGAATTTCAAATAAAAATTTCCCGGTTTATTGAATTCCTAATACATTTTTACCACGTGTAAATTTAGAATTTAATAAATCAAGAAATTTCCATATGAAATTATTGAAATGAAATAATTGTCGTCGTGATTTTTTTCTTAAATTGAACGATATTTGCTTTGCATCACGCATGCATAATTATGTAACTACATTGTATATCTATTAATTGTGGCAAATTTAAATGTTTAATAATGATAAATTGTTATAAAGAATATTGAGTTGTACTTAGTATGAATGTATATTGTCTTAAATAGTGTGATTGAAACTTGAAAAATTTAACTGAAAACATTTTTTAATCTTTCGACCTTGTTATATACGTCTCGATACAAGGCCCATTCTGTGGACATTTGCAATGTTTGTGCTTTGATAAAAGTTTCTACTACTCACTTATTTAAATTGTGTCTATAGAAATAAACTTGACCAAACACATACTCCTATATATGTTTTTACATGAAGATGATATAAAGAACAGAATAATTCCCAAAAGTTATGCGACTAAAACAAAACAGATCAAGAGAATCTAGAGTAAACAAGAATCCAATAACATCAGAGGTGACCGTTAATTTCCTTGTTACATTAACTTATTTTCCATTAGCTTATTTCGTTTCAGGAATTGTTCGTGCGTAGAGTATGCTCAAGATTGCATATATGGAATCAAATGGATGGCATAAACTCCGTGTGTTTGTATTTCTTTGCTGTGTTTTTTTAGGTTTTTTTCACTTCGGCAAAAACAAAATTATGTCTACTTGTATGTCCTCTGGTATCCACCCCCGTCTTTTAAAAAAGAATCCTTTTGCATAAGCGTCGGAAGCAAATTGAAAGTGTGTTTGGGGGGGGGCTAATTCAACAAAAAAGGTAAAGGTAACCCTACTCCTACAAGTAAGAGCCTCGGTTAACATCCTTACTACGCTCCTTATATACCCATATTACGTGGCGCCAAGTCAAAAGTATCTCGCCGTGAACCTCTAGCATGCTGGAGTAAAGTTAACCCCAATTTTCAATGCCTATATTATGCATATATTTGAGGAAAAAAATGGGGGGGGGGGCTAAACCCCCTTAACCCCCTCCCCCCTCCGGTTCTGATGTTTTGGACGTCCTGGTGTTCAAGTTGCCATCAGATGGACTCGATTCAGTCTTCAAATCTTTTGAAACCTGACCATAACATCTCTCTTCCGAAAGGTCAGCAGTGATGGCAAATCCGCAAGTGCACAGACCTTCTTAACGGGACCACACGTGTTTTTTCTCTCTGTTACTCCAGCTTGTCTTCTCACAACTGTTTTCTCCCTCTCCAATATACTCTCAGTTACTGGCCATGAAATTTTTTTTAGTCCGATTGTGCCGCTTCCCTAAACAAGTACATGTAGTAGCCTAATGCACCTCCTCGGTCCTAACAATGTGGCATGAGATGTTCCTTCAGACTCTTCTGTGTGGAATTGAGAAGAATACTCCACCGGGTATTATCATGGAAATTTTTTTGGATTTTTCGGGGTAGATGGATGAGGTTAGAATAAACAAGAAAATATCAGAATTCAGAAAAGTATATTTAAACCAGAAGTCTGTGTCGAGACTGAAGCTCTACTTGTTTGTACTTATAACAAAGGAAGAGAAAAGTACTTTTAAGGAGTTGGGAATTGAAACTTTACAATACCAATGAATAGAATAATGATAGTTGATTAAGTCTCTTTATGTTCTTAGTGTAGTCTACTTGCATGCCAAATTATATTATAATCAGACTAAAACTGTATTTGGAGTAGCATTTTGAGAGTATTTAACAGAAATGTCTATTTTTAGTAACAAAGGCAATAATGTTCATTGAAGTCAAAAACCGATATGCAGAATTGTGTACCTTAGTGTAGTCTACTTGTGTGCCAAGTTATATTGAAATCAGACCAAAACTGTAGGAAACGTAGCATTTTGAAAGAATTTCACAGAAATTTCTATTTTTAGTAACAACGGCAACGCCGTTCATCCAAATCAAAAACCAATATACAGAATTATGTACCTTAGTGTAGTCTACTTGTGTGCCAAGTTATATTGAAATCAGATCAAAACTGTAGGAGGAGTAGCATTTTAAAAGAATTTCACAGAAATTTCTATTTTTAGTAATTGATGCAATAATGTTCATCGAAGTCAAAAACCGATATGCAGAATTATGTATCACAGTGTAGCCAAGTTATACTGAAATCAGACCAAAACTGTAGGAGACGTAGCATTTTGAAAGAATTTCACAGAAAATTTTATTTTTAGTAACCACGGCAACATCGTTCATCCAAATCAAAAACCAATATTACAGAATTATGTACCTTAGTGTAGTCTACTTGTGTGTCAAGTTATATTGTAATCAGACCATAATTGTAGGGGGAGTAGCAATTTGAAAGAATTTCACAGAAATTTCTATTTTTAGTAATCAAGGCAATAATGTTCATCGAAGTCAAAAACCGATACATAGAATTAAGTATCTTAGTGTAGTCTACTTGTGTGCCAAGTTATATACTGAAATCAGACCAAAACTGTAGGAGAAGTAGCATTTTGAAATATTGTTTAGTCTCTGACCAGTAGATCGAGCTAAAAATTTCTAAAACTCTGAAATCCCGAATCTGTTCAAGGGGATCTTATCCCATTATATATATATAATTACCCCACTCCTTTTTCTACGTTTTCCTTGATAATTTAATGAATCGTTCAATCATTTACAAATATTATATTATTAACCCTTCTTGTTTCGTCTTAATGATGATTGACCGGGAAATTATATTTTGTCCTGGTATGGTTTCACTTTTAGCTAGATGAATCTTGTTTCCTGTGAACGTATGACATAATTTTCATTTCAGTGTACCAAAGAAAATGACGAAATCTTAATAAAATCCAGAGATTAGTAAGTTGACATATCAAGAAAAGTACTTGTTTATAAAATTTCAGCTGAAGACAATTCATACTTAAAACATTTATTTCTCATTTCAATGGGGGACTGCATTTCGAAATAGTTTACCATAGGCATATGTTCACAAAGTAAATCTGGCCACTTATCATTGCTTATTATGCATATTACTTGCCTTTCAAATATTGACTTGATAAAAAAAGTTTTAATGATGTCTTTTGTAGAATAATATGATTCTAAGTTATGACATGTTGCTCAATCTGCCTCGAGAATAGAACGCATCCCTGCTGCTGTGTGCCTTGTGGACACGTCTTCTGCAAAGATTGTATTGAATCCTGGGCTGAAAACACCAGAGAATGTCCAGACTGCAGGAGACGCATTGACAGTTTACAAATTATCTTTGGAATGGAAGAAAGAAGACATGATCCCGGTACACATGTAGAAATTTAGTATTTACTAACTTGTCAAATGAATCAAATTACCAATATGGAGTTTGCTTGTTTTTGTTGTTGTAGAAAGAATCTTGTATAAATAATTTTTTTTCTTTTCATTTATGAATTTAAGTGTTACTTGAAAAATTATTATGCAATTCAGCAACATAATTATAATTGTCTTTTAGATGAATCTGAAAACCAACCAACAGGATATATAAGCAGCTTCCCACTACGCCACAGGATTCTTCTGGAAAAGTATTGGATGTTTGTTTTAATTGGGATAATCATGGTTGCCTTTCTGTTCTTTATGGATCTGAACTCCTCCAGCAGTTACATTACCGCAATACCAAGTGCAATCCTGAGTGTCTTGTGGGACATCATTGTATTCATTGTATCTCTTTTGTTTCAATTGTTGAAGTTCCCATTTCAGTTTCTGTCCAATATTGACAGTTATTGTGACTCCTTTTCATCTGCCATGCATCATTTGTTTTGGTTCCTTATTTATGTTTTTATCATTGTTTTTGTTGTTTGGTATTGTATAAATACAGTAAAAGTTACAAAAGCTCGTAAAGAGTGGAAAGAGTGGAGAAAAAAATGCCGTTAAGATTTGTTGATGCACAATTAAAATTACAATGAATACATATGTATTGAATTTTTGTTGGGTTGTTCAAATCTGTGACATTTGGAAGCTAGCAGCATGAAAAGTATCATTTACCATACCCTTCTTGATTTTTAGTTGACTGAGGTTCAATGATTATTACATGTACTTCAAAGTTTCCTCTCTAACTAAGTCTTAAATGTGCATAGTTTTGAGGTAGGTTTATTTTTAGTTTAATGAGGTGACTTATTTAAGAAGTGTTAGTATTTATATGCTTATTTGCAAAAAACATATTTGTTTGCATTTCACAGCCCTTAAAAAAGAAATATACACGTATTAGTAGTGTTTTCTGTAAAAAATTATTTACATTCATGTACCAGTACACTTTTGTTTGCTTTTAAATTTCAAATGGTAACTACTAACACATTGGTAATAGATGTTTTAATGAACTAGACTAAATTAGCCATTAACTTTGTTCTAGGCAAATGTATTATGTCTAAAGCTTTATATCCCTTTTAAGTATTTTGTGCAATAGTTTAATTTTTGAACAATGATATTTTTTTCCGTTGTACCTGTTCTTCACTTTCCTGTTAATTCTTTTATAAATTGAAGAAATCAAGAAAAATAAAAAATAAAGATTTGAGTTTTACTATTGATTCTGCCATTAATGTACAATTCTCCTGATTTAAGGTCTTTAGGTGAAACAGTTTAATTACCAGGGTATCAGTGCAGCTCTTAAAATGAATTAGAGGCGTCCTTTACGTTTCCCTTGACATGAATTTCTCTGCTTCCTTGTTGAGCTAATTAGTAAACTGTTTGAACTAGAAGGCCATTGCTACATACATTATTCTAGAGAGTACAAGAGCAGTAACCAATGATTTACTTGGGAGAATACTCCTTAATAATTCTTGCTTTCCAAATGTCAGAAATATTTATAGGACACATGTATAGAGAATTGAGGCTTAGAGTAAAATAATTCTCATTCCCCTCGGTTATAAAATATATTGAAAGTTTATGGATATAATGAATTTTGCTTTTCGTCCCTGGCACTTGGTAATAATTTTTTTTTATTGTAATAGGTTAAATAAACTACAAATCACTCTTGCTGATTAACAATGTGTTCAGTCTCAATAGTGTTTTCTTCTGCTTTCATAAAGAATAACAGAAAAAAGACAATTTTTTTTTTATTTATTTGGTGTAACAATATAGAAGCAGAATGCATTGAAATTAGAGCAACAAAAATATATTCTCTGATAACATGAAATATTCAAGCTTTTGTCATGGAAAAAAACATTTTTTAAATATTCCTAGTAACTACATTTCTTACAAAAATGGGCACATTTGGTTCTAGTACATAGAAATATCCGAATTGAGAACTGTGTTCAAGGAAAATGTTCATAAATATTTTTTTCCCATAGCTTTTAAGATTTTTTTAAGAAGGAAGACAACTCAAATGCAAACATTTTTTTAACAGACCTGATTTAATAAAAAATTATACATAATGTGTTTCTATAACTCTCTGAACACTTTATTTATGTAACAATTCTTTATGAAAATATATTAAATGACATAAAATATATAATTCTGTGTATATTAAATGACTAATTATGCATATAAATTCTATACATAATTGTTCATCAGCTCAAATTCAAGTATCTTTTGCACAATTTGAAACCACTTGATTAAGAAAAAAAAATTTGTCAGCTTTATCCACAGAACAAACTTAAATTAAAAAAAAAATGAATCTAAAAAAAAAATAAACTCGAGCAATTCATTTGGTGATTCTTAATCAAGACCCGTACATATAAAAGCAAAAACAATCTAAAAGTAGAAATGAAAAATAAATTAAGACATTAAAGAGCTAATGAAAAATGCAATTAATATCACAATGTTTCAGCAATGAAATTGGCACCATTGTATGCTATAAAACCTGAGCTGGGACTGTCTCTATTTCTTCGTCATCCAGAGTTTCCTCTGTCACCAAGTTTTTCGAACTCTTGGATTCTGAGATTGTTTTAGACATGTGTGTAGATGAGTCACTAGAAGCTTTAAAACTTTCCCGAAATTTCAGAGGTTTGGGGTTAGTGTTGTTGTCTACTGCCTCACATACTCTCTGAATCAGTTTGTTAAATGGGTTGGGTTTATCTGCGTAGACATGATGACCAGCTCCACGTACAACCTAGCAATATACGGAAGATGTGAAAAAAAATTTAAGTTCAATACATATGCCTATCTTATAATAATAAAATAATTATAAATAATCAGTTATATCAGCTCATATTTTTTTCTATTCATATAGTTTTTAAAACCAAAAGAAGGATAAATGAATTAGTTTTTAAGCAATTAAACTAATATGCTAAAAATATTTATATGACCTTCATTAAAATTTTTTTGACAATACCCTTATGAAGAACAACTAACTATGTGTGCAATCTCTGAAATTATGTAAACTTAAGTCTTTGACCCAGAAGGTACTGTACAATTAATGACTCACAGCTACTTCTACGAAGCTCTCGTTCCTGAGGTACTTGATGTGGTACCCTGTATTGCTGTCCACCCAGGATTTGGACCCGTACACCAGAGTGACCGGCACCTCCTTCTTCAGGTCCGGCAGGCGGTGGATCATCGGGTTCTTAGCCCAACCAAACGAGGTATTCAAGTTTTTGAAAGCTGTCTCACCACTTTAAAAGAAAACAAGAACATGGGTAGCACTTCTAAACAGAATATACATGTACCTACCCTATGTCGTAGAGAGATCACTTATTCAGTATTGCTCTCTGTTGTATACGAGGGTAGAAAACTTTTAGAAGGAAATTTTTGCCTCCTTTTTATTTTCATCCCTATCACTTTTGCTGCATATGTACATATTTAAAATAGGATGAATTTATTTTGTGAAGATAACATCATACGCCTTTGACACAATTGTGTCTGGGTGAATTCAAAGTAGGGCAAAATTATTAATGTGTGAATCTTTAACAGAGCAAAAACATCTGTGTATATACTATTATGTTCTGTATATATATTCTTTAGCCATGCATATTCCTAATTTTAATCTGAATAAATTGTTACCTTGGTGACTGTGCGTTACAGTGATAGATGTAATCAAAAATTGTGTCATCGTCCAGGGTGTCTGCAAACTTGTCCTGTAGGTCAGGTCTAAACCGCCTCACCAGTCCTGGTCCTATAACACAAATCTTTAAACTTATTATATATGGACTTTGTAGATATTATAGAAATCAAGGGAAATAACTCTCAGAGAAGTGCAATATTTTTTAGATACTTTAGATTTATATAGAGTTACTCTCAGAAAAATTATTTCCTTGAACTTTGCCACTTTTTCATCCTTTGGGGGATAACATATTAAATCAATATTGCCCTCATCCATAGTTAAAATCATGTTTTTTTGATAGCTAGAATATACATGTATTCAAATGGTTTGTTTTTAGTACTCTTCATAATGCAAAGTGAATATTATTATAATAAAAGTAATTTAATATACAAACCAAAAGGTCCTGCCACACGTAGAACAGCCAGTGGATTGAAGGGCTTAATAATAGTGGCTATGACCTTGATCCACATGGGTATCGGCCTCTGCTGATCCTCGGGAGGTTTCTCAGGGAACCCCCAGGCATCCACCAGCACCAGATGCTTGACTCTGTCTGGGTACTTTAAACTGTACGCCCCCGAAATGTACGCCCCCAAGCTATGCCCCAGTAAAATCATTTCTTTTATATCCATTTCTTTTCTCCATTCTTCTATAGATTCCACAAACTGTTGTTCAGTTTTTTCAGGTTTCGAACTAAATTGGGGTCTGGAACTTCGTCCAAATCCTAACACATCAAATGCGTACAATGGACGGTTTTCACTGAGGGGACCCAGGTTTTGGGCCCACAGTCCGATCCCCCCGCCCATTCCGTGGACCATGACGAGGGGGACCTTTTTGTTATTGACCTCATTGTCTTTGTGGTCCACTGTCAGCGTCCACAATCTGTGATGGGTGTTTGGTAGTGTCACATACTTTGTATCATAGGTTGTTTTCCTCAGAAATGCTGCATGGTAAAATAATAGAATTATAAATATACAGTATGACATGTTCAGAATTTGTTTAATCTCCTAAAGTTGATAAAGATTTTTTTTTCATAAAAACTTTAAATACATATAACAAGGTAAGGTGCTTTCATGTAGAATATCACCGTAACCATAGTTATAACACCACAATTGTAGAATAGATGAAGTAAAATTTGACTGAGAATTGTCGAGTGCATACAATGAATGTTTAACAATTTTAAAATCTTTAATTGGGACTACTAACCTTGAAGAATTTTCCTTTCGGCTTGTGCAAGCTTAGCCATTGAAGTAGGTCTCCATGAAAACCAGCTTGAAGGATAAACTGCACTACAACTGAAATGTCAAAAATGAAATTCCCATAAAATATCGCATTTATAAGCAGTTCTTAGCAAGGATATTATTGAAGCATTTTAAGTCACAAGTTTATGTTCATTCTATATTTTCAGTTTGAATATAGCTATGATCTTTAACATGTTTAAACTTTTGGTATATAAAATAAGTATTAAAATCTACTTATTGGTAAGAATAATTAAGTAAAATACACTTAATTTGCATCCTGCTAAAAATTTTTACTCAAGCTGTATCTTGTACAACATTAAGTTTTGAATATCATGTACTTCACAAGTAAATATTCTTATTTATTGTCACAGATGGGTCATACTTTGATCACCCCCCCCCCCCTCCCTTCCCACCTAAGGGTTAAAGGATGACTTAACATTAATCTTTATAATAAATATCCCTACACCCCCATGGAGTTCTATTGGGTCAAATTCTAGTGCTACACTGACACAATTTGATATCATTGTGACCTGGTGAAGAGATTTCAATTTTAAATTAAAGATAGTCTACAAATATCAGTTTCTTAAAAAATTGGAAAATATTCATTGTTCACAATGATAGATTAAAAGTATTTCTTTGGACAATAAAAAACAAATTTAGCAGGCTAGTACACTAAGTCCCAAAACAAGTAAACTTATTTAGGTCACTGTGTCATGACATTCTGACCCTCTAGACTACTACACTTACAAACTGCCTTACCCCTGTGCTACATGTACGTCAAATAACTGATGTTGCTTGACAGGACAATGTGTCGAAACACTAAAGAACGAACCATCTATTAATACTTACAAAATTACCCCAAATGCATGCAACAATGCCATGAAATAGCCTTTTAAATAAGAAATTACATCCATGTAAAGTTCTTCAGTACTTGATCCCCATTGATGACAGAAAATACGTAAATAAATTCGAGGATATCCGAAGGGATGTAGGGGGAATTCTCGAGTTAAAAATAAATACACAAATGGAACAGACCTTCCTTCACATATATATAAAAAAAACGTACATTTTGTTGGACGCATGTAAACGTAAAGTAAATATAACACATACATAAAATATTATAATAATTGTTTCTTAATTTACCTCTGCACGTCAGTTACTTCGCTATTCTTCTCCACCATGGCCGTATCGCAATCATTTGTTCCGATGGTGCTAACGTCACGTGACTAAAGGGCCTTGGATAGGGCACTGATTGAATTAAATGAATGAGCTTTCAGCAAATCTAGAATTTGATGGAATATTCAATTTACTTCTAACCAAATATTTACATATTTAAGGAAGAAACAGAACACTACAACTCTATTTTTCTTATTCACACGAGATAAAATCATTTTCACTAAAAAGTAACCCCTAATATACCCCAGAGTATATGTAAATGTTGGAAACGGATGTCTCATTGCATAAGCCTCAATGTTCCGTATTGTGAACTATTTTTCTTACAGTCATCTTAATTAGTCATGTCAATGTTTACCTTTCATAATATATTATTTAAAATAAAAAAAGAGAAGTTTTAATGACACCATAGGCCAATACTTCCACATCGGATTGAAGATTTGGTTGCAGTCACAAACCAACTTAGAAATCCAACTTTATTGGAAGAAGTTAGCCATCTTATAAAAATCTCTACTAATTATTACTCTCCAACTATGTGTATTAGTTTGTGCTTGTTAACTAATCCCATTTGACGTCTAGGTGGTACTTATTTTCTGCTTATAACTCAATAAGATATTCATTGATATGTAGCTGCAATAAATGTACATTTAGCCCTTTCCGATTTTTTTTTTTTTTTAAATCCGATGTTTTCTGGAGGATCGATATGTATCACCAGAAAGATAAAACTTCGCATGGCGACTCTGTCTGAAATTGTTTGAACAAGTTTTCTGCATAAAAAATGAAAACATGGCTATTTTTTAATGCCTTTATTTTTTTCAACTTTTTTTGTCTTTTTTCTTTCATACAAAAATGATGACAAATTTAACATTGTGAAATAAAACATATCAACAATAATTATTATAACTGAAAATGGGCACAGATCTTTTCTATGCACAAAAATTATAAACTTGAGAATCACATGAAGTCAAAGGCATTTTCATTTCACATAAAAACAGAAAATTAAAAGTATTTATATTTCATCCCTTCCCCCCCAGAACCGAAATGCTAATTTTTAAACCTGATGTTCATCAATAAAAGAAACATACACATTTACTTGAATTAAATTGCTGCCATAATATGAACTTAATTCCTCAGTATACCATGTCTGGTATTCTGAATCAGTACTTAAATAAACAGCTGGGTATAGGAAAAATGACTAGAGATTATAATAACATTTACAAATGAACTAGCAGATATGTGTTCTGATAACTTTAGATACATGAAAAAATACATTTAGTCACAGTTTTACAACCAGAGAAAGAAGGAAGGAAAATATACATTTAGTCACAATTTTAAAACCAGAGAAAGAAGGAAAGAACATTTTTTTAAAAAAAAGAGATTTTAAAATATTAAAATCAAAAAATACCATGAATTGGATATGAATGGTGGAGATTTTTTTTTTTCATTATCACCAAAATGGATTGTCTTTGTAAAATTTTTTACACTTCATTCACCTTTCACTTATATACAAGGGGTCAATGCCATTGCCTGTATACCAAGTTTGATAAAAAATGAACAATGAACTCAAACACTCAATAAACAGTTTTCTCATAATACATATAAGATGTTATCTTTACCAATGACCAAATGTCTAGAAAGATTTCCCAACTCTTCATCAATCTACCTCAGTTTGCTTGAGAAATGGATTTCAAGGATCATCTCTAAATTACACCGTAGTCATTTCATTAATAGGATACTGATTTGATAGGATAAAATAATCAACCTAAACTGAGTGGGGGGACAAAAAGAAGAAAATCTGGCTTAATAACTTCATGTGCTCTACAACGATTTGTTCCACATACATACATACATAAAATCACTATGTTAAATATAGGTTCCAAACAAAAGTGATGCATTGAATTTTCCTCTTTTCCAATAAAATATCATACACATTTTTTTTTGATTTTGTACTTTTTTTTACCCATTCATGATCTAATGGGTGTCTATTAAATGAACGTATTATACATTGAAACAAACAAAACTTGAATCATATTGGTCCTCTTTCTTTTCCATATTTCCAATTCTCTAATAACCAGAATAATTGCACAATATTATTAATATCAATACATGTACAACAAAGTCTCGTATATATATACACACGCACAAAAAAATGTCAATAGCTGTCATTTTAAAGTATCTGGCTTTCAATATTTATGGAAGCTACAACTAAGTTGCCTTAGCAAAATACATTGTAAAAGCTTTTCGTGACTGTTGTAAACAAAAAAAATTAGAGAGATAGAAAGCAGGACAAACAGGAAGAAAAAGAGAGAAAGAAATACGAAAGATAGGGAAGAAAAAGAAATTAAGAATACAAAGTAAGAGAGATCGCTTCTTTAATTTGCAAATGGTAAAAATAAAGAATTCCTATGGGTATTTTAAAAAGAAAAAAAAAATAACCATGCAAAATGGTCAGCACTAATACCTGATTGCTGGCACAATTAGTGGTAAGTTTTTAGGTCTATTCTGATGTATATAAAAAGCACCTATTCAATTCTTTACAGTAGTTCATTCATGAAAAGGCACAGGGAAAAATAATTGACACATGATCTGTGTAGAAAACTGACTTTTCTTTTTTCGAAAGTCTGTGTTCAACACGACTCTCTCAAACAACACAACTTGTTTAAAATACAGCTTTAAAACAAGCCGAAATTCACAATAAAACAGTATTTAAAAATAACACAACATTGTTTGAAAATAAAAATGGCATGATAAAAAGTGAATCAAGACCTTTGCATATTTTATATTGTGCTTTTAATTATCGAGATTCTTTTGAATCCAACATTATTATTCCTCATAAAAACAATGTACATTATGAACAATAACTAGGAATCCATTGTCTTTCAGTTTGATGCAATGATTTTTACACAATGATTCTATTAAATTCTATGGTATATTTTTTGCCCCCCCCCAAAAATAATAATAATGTGAGAGTGGGGTAAAAAATGGAAAATAGACTTTTCTTTTCAACACGGTGAGGTGAAAAATGGAAAAATATATCACATAAATCATTGATATCACATAATTTTACTGTGATGTGAACAAGGAAATATGCCCGTTTAAAATATGATTTTTTTTACCCAATTTTACATCTCTTAAGAACAATTCATACATAATTTAACATATTTCTAATTAAAGTAAATGATTTGGATTGTTGAAATACATTTGGTATTGAATAACAAATTCAGGAGGAAAAAAAAACTTTTCAACAGACATGTACAGAAAAAAAAAAAAATGAGTCTCCAAAATAAATCTTATTCACATCATTTTACAATAACATAATATCTTGAGACATGTATACAATTTACATATATTTATCTTATGATCATAACTCACACAAAAAGTTATTTTCTATCCATATTCATTTTTATGCCACTCGAACTCGATATATGAGGCACCAAGTAATAAGACAAGCACACACATCACACAAAACGCACACAAAGATCTCCTCTTACACTTTGAAGGGCACCATTGAATACTGCCACCCCGGGCCTCAGTAGAGGTTACCTGTGGCCGGCAGTAGCACTTGGATAACTGTCCCTCTTGTTGTAGCCGTACCCATTTCCCGTGTTTTTCTTCTTCTTGTTGCTACTGAACGTCCATGTGTGAACTCGGCCACTGTCATAGCCGTTTTTGTTTTGAGCACTTCCTCCGTGATATGCTTTTCTCGACGGTCCGCTGTCGTAGTGACCAGAGTTTCTATTGCTGTTTCCGCGGTTCTCATAACTGTTGCTGTAACCCCTGTGTCCACTGTTCACATTAGTTCTGTTAGATCCGGCCGAATGAGTGGAGGACACACTACTACAACTAGTGTCTCGACTTTTGGATGAACCTGTCCTTTGTTTACTGTTGCTATGCGCCCTGTCTCTACTACGTGTGTACTCCTGACTGACTACAGCTGTCTTTTTCTCTGTTTTGACTGGAGTTGTAGGGGTTGATTTCGTCACTTCTATTTCTGTTTGTTGTTGTGGATCAGGTTCAGAGTCCTACAATAAGAAATTTTATTTAACTTCCTTGCTTTCTTCCCTAATTCATAATTGTTTTATAAACTTCCTTTTTTCTATAAAGATCATATATAAGATCCTTTTTTTCACTTTTTAAAAAATCAATTACACATCTATTCAAAATCATTAAGGAACAGAATATTTTTACTCACTCCAACAAAATTACTCTCCCCTTTTCTATTTTAGTGAGTATGTAAGGAGTGCTTTTCTTTCCTTTTTCAACAAAATTACTTTCTTTTTGTGTCTGTCTTCATGACTATATGTACAAACAATCTCTTTACATTTTTTAAAGAATGTCCCATAGCCCTACCCTGAGAATTAACACACCAAGTTTCACTACTTACCGTGTCGCTGGTAAGACTAGACGTGGAGCTACTGCTGGCAGAGCTGCTGCTGGATTTGTACACAGAACTCGAGTCAGACTGTTCACTCTCTGGATTGCAGGGCTTTGATCCATCCTCATTACACCTACAATCACAAATACATTGTTATTAACCAAACATTTTTTTTTCCACTTTTGTAAGAGTGGCTAATGCATTGTGCTTGTTAACATTCTCTCAAATTATACTTTTATTTTTATAAATAATTAAAAAATCCATAGTTCTCAGTTCTAGTCCCACAAGTATTGACTGTTATGTCATATTCCCCAACTTCTAGGTTAAACGTTTCCAGTTCACGAGAGTTCCACTAGAACTTGCAAACACAACGGGGCTAATATTATTAAATATTTTTCAGTTATGCCTGAATGTCTATATTTGAGAATTGAATAAACAAGGGACAACTTTCACTTTCAGATGAACAGTTCCTCCACCTACCTCTTGCTGCTTTCGTTACCGACATCGTTTTTAGCTTCCACTGCTTTGCTGCCATTGGCAACGCTTGCATAGCTTCTGCTCCTGGAATCCAACATGTTGTTTTCTGGGATTTTACGAGGGAATGTCATTTTTATCCAATGTCTGTACTCCACGACTTCATTCGTCACTCGAACTATTCGACCAAGTATGCTGGAAAAAATTATCATTTTTATCAGAACATCACTTTCTATTTAAAAACAAAAATAATGGCTATAAAACTTCTTGTAAATCAATAAATTATAAATTCCAAATGCTTTATGGCTTTATAATAGGGCTGTGCAATATTACCGGTATATCGGTATATTGTGGTATTATCCACCACGATAATATATCGCGATATGAAAATCAGATACCGGTAATTTACGATATTTATGAAAATATATAAAAACCTCCTTTATTGTAGAAACTGCTGAAATAATACTTGTAACTTCCCCAGGCCTTTTCAATCTAGTAAAAAAATACTTCGTTGGCTTTCAGAGGCAGATAGAGAGAAAAGAGAGAGAGAGGAAGCTTTTCATTCACTGTCGCAATTTTAAATATCTTACTTTAAAATGAAATTAATAATTAATAAAAGACTTTTAAGTAAATTATTAAGAAAGAAAATATATGATACATTTCTACAGGGTGTATACCATGTGTACTGTGGTTCACAAAATCTCATGGAATCTAGCTACACGATCGACGATGAATGTTAAGTTCAAGATACATATTACAAATAAATGGCCATCCATGTTTTCACTTGATACAGTGTTGCTTTTTATTATTTTTTAACAAGTTTCATGCCATTTTAAACACCTTTATGGTATATCAGGAGCATGTATATTAAAACAATAGAAATAGGCCAATGCAGTTCCTGATCGTATGTCATTATGTGAAATTAGGTCGGGTCAGACTAAAACACCAAACGCCCGAAAATAGGTCACAATTTCTTTCTGGCTTTAATTTTATTCTGTGACCACATAAAATTTCTAGATAGCATGTATCGTTTCAATCATTAAGTAACATTTTATGCTATTTTAATAAAACAACCCCCCCCCCCCAAAAAAAACAAAACTATAAAGAATATACTATGCACAAACTTTTTTTTCAATTTGAAAATTCATCAAATGAGTACATTTTGTTTTAATTTTTTACCTGGTTTTTGATTAAAAGTTATTATAATTATGTGCGCGATTAATGTCTTATCCCCCGCCCCTTTAAAATTTATAGATAAATTCAAATAGTCTTTGAACTTGACAGCATTTTAAACTTTCTGCACAAATTTATTAATGATAATTAATCTACAATATATCGCAATATATTGTAATATTCAGTGTAATATATTGCAATATATCGCAATATGGTTTTCACTCGCAATACCCAACTCTACTTTATAACAATTACAATATTTAGTTTTATAAAACATTCATATTTTTGCATTCAGACAAAGATTTTAAAATACTCTCTGCAAGAAGATATTGCCAGTGAAAGTTATAAAAAATGGGTCATTCTTCAAGTGCTCCCATTCATTATCACCATTATCACCTTAAACAAGATTTCATTGAATTGTGCAGACTAGCAGTTTTTGATGAGATTAGAGCTCCACCTGTTCTTAGTTATTATAATAGTAATACTTGAACTTTTCCAGAATTACGTATCCTGGTTTCATATTAAACTTGTAACACTCTTTCGATACTTATTCAAAACTGTACATGAAGCAGTTTGAATTTTTTTTTTATTAAATGGCTATATCAATATACAGAACTTAAACCTAGGTTTGTTCTCTTGTGTATTTAATTTAAATTTTAATTAAAATTTCATTCAAACCAAATCTGTTGGGAGAGTATGACATATTCTGTTTAAAGTACACGTATTACACATTGTTAAAGGTACTTGGACACAGATTTGAAGTCAATATTTTCTCTATAATATTACGACTTATATATTTTAATAGCATTTCACACAAAAATTAATTGAAAATATTATTTCGTTTAAAAGATATTGAAATTTCAAATTTTTCGGCGGGTTTGATTGACAAATCCTTGCACTCTCACAAATTTAATTTTATTCTTAATCCTTAGGAAAAGTGGCAATCTCGTTTTGTATACATGAAAAATATTAATACTATAATCCAGAAAATTCAGAGTAGACATGTTCGAAAGCAAAACAAACACACAATATATTGTCAGTCCGTGCAGTTGTGGTAAGCAGACTGTGACGATTGAACGCACCCGGTGAATTCTAAATATAAACAATAACAGAACTCGAGCCCTGTTTACAAAAACTGTGTACATAACACGAGTGTGCTCGATTTGCTAAACTCTGTTTGCATCTCTTAGTTCGGAATGACGATACTTGTGAAGGTGTTTTGCTTTCTAACATTTCTACTCTGAATAAAATTATTTTTCTTGATAAAAGTTTTAATATTTCTCATTAAAACACATCAAAATTGCCACTTTTCCTAAGGATTAAGAATAAAGTTAAAATTTGTTAAAGTGCAAGGATGTGTCAATCAAACCCGCCAAAAAATTTAAGTTTTAATAACTTTTAAATGAAATAAGATTTTTAATTAATTTTTGTGTGAAATGCTATTAAAATATATAATTCGTGATATTATACAGAAAAAATGAGAAAATATTAACTTCAAATCTGTGTCCAAGTACCTTTAACATTGATTATAAATCAAAATCATAATCAAGAAAATTACATTCCTGCTTTAGTATGGATTATTGAAATCAAAATCAAACTGTTGGAGGAATAACATTTTACAAGAATTTCAAAGAAATCATCACATGGTTCTCTGAAACAATGACATAAGACACCTTACCATAATATTGCAGAAAAAATGATTCGTTCTTATTAAATGACATCACATAGACTATAGAGTCTACATTTCAAAATTAACTGACATTAGAAAAAGGGAAGGTTTCATTGTGATTTTTGTATTGATCAGTTCCTGGAAAATAAAAATGAAGCCCTTTATCAACTATTTTTAAATAGGGAAAAATTTTCAAGAGCATTCCTTATTTATTTTCCTTCTTGCAACATTCAGCCTTCTTAAATATATTTTTGCTTGATATAATGCAAAATATCTCTTTTGATTTAAAATAAATGGTTTTAAAATTCCAATCCCTTGATTTGTTTGAGGAAATATTGTGAGTTTATTTCAAAAGTTAACCTTCTGTATCTTTGTATACTCTCGAGTTAAACTGTTAAACGCATTTAACAATAAACAAGTATGAAAATTAAAGATTAGGAATCCCTCATTTTTTCAACAGAAAAAAAAAATTAATTCAACTCATCAGATTCTCACCTATGCTTCGGCTTTCTTGAAAACATATATTGTGGGCCTACTGTGTAACTCAAAACTATGTAGGCATATTCAAAGGCCTGTTTCACTTGCATAGCACCATACGAACTTCTCCCTATGTCATTTCCTACAAAAAAAAAAATAATCACATAAAATAGCTTGTTTGTATATCAATCTAATATATTGAAAAGAGATTGCAAAACAAAAACAAAGACATTTTTTGAAGTATTTTAACATTAATACTGTTATACATAAAAATACTAGAAAGCTTTAATGAATGAATTGCATCTGAAAATAACTTTTTACACTTAATCCATATCATATATCCCTTGGGTGCATCTTATTTGCAAATGCAAATCACTATGTATGTGTTAGTAATAATATACAATGAGACACAACATATAATGTGTAACATGTAAATTAATAATGTCTGCCTACAATATTTAATATACAATGAAAATATTGAAACTCTTAAGATGGATGAACACAGAACAATGCCTCCAAAAGTTGAACTTCAGAAGTGGCATATTAAGAGTATGCCTTGATGAAATCATGCGGTTTCATAAATGATAAAATTTATTCAAAATTTTAATATAGATATTTACTTTCCGTCATAATTAGGACATGATAAATATGTTCTAACAAACCTTTTGTCAATGGATCTTCAATACACAACATAGACGATCTATAGCCATTTTCCATGCTTCTTTGAATTTCGTCTTTCGGGACATATGACCCTCCGTTTTTAATTCTTATTCCTGTCTTCAAGTAGTTATAATTCCTTCCGTACAGTTCAAAAAATTCAATCAGCAAAACTCCAAGATTCGCATTTGGCTCCAATGCGTCGTACCTTGGATGGAGCTATTATAAAAACAAAACTATGCCTTATTATTGTATAACAATTTTGTCAGATCTTGATTCAAAAGTGCAAGAATGATTAAAACTAATAATGATTTACTTTATCTATTTTTTTTTTTAAATAGTTTTTAGCTATTTACTTTCATTTTAAGCTCACACAATTTTCTGAAAATCAAACCAAACCAAAAATGAAAGTACATAATTCTTAGAATCACATTTTGTATTGTTAACCATATAAATCAATAAGTAGAGATAGGTGAATTTAAAACTGATGTAATGAAATCTACATCGAAGTATCAAAAATTAAAATGGAAGGCAGACACCATAAGAGTACGACATTTCTAAGCATTTCAAATAATTCTGCCTTTTTGAAAACAAAAAAAAATGCTTTGAAATCATTATTGCTCATTTGGGACCAATATCTGTTTGGAATATAAAATCACAACATTATCAATTCCCTTAGAATTTCAGCAATTCTAAAATAAATGCAGAGCCCCAAACTAGAGTTACTTACTTAGTTGTGAACATTTGTCTAGAGAAATAAAATGTTTCTGTTTCAGTATTACCTCTGTCACAATAAAAATTTCTTTTCTCAGTATAACAGTGATTACCTGAAAGAAGCTGACTGTCATGTAGATAAGGCTATAAGAACTAATTCCCCCTGTAAACACTTCATTCAGATCTCTTTGTAAGAGGAACTGTTTCAGCACCAACACCAAATATTTCAAATTTGGGTATTCAGTCATGAATTTCTGTATTAAGATAAAAAATATTAATAATAAAGATTAACCATATCCATTTATATCAATATATGTAAATTGAAATAGAATTCTTCCTTTTTCAATTTGGACCTTTTTTCTCTTTCTTATTTAGCCTTAAAAATGGCTGCTTACGCTGATAAGTTGAGCACTTTCCACAGAGTTTTGTGTATTGAAGCTGATGTCCACCTTTACTTCAGTTTGGAGGTCCACCATTTTGATAATTGGAACCTGGAAAAATACATAAATTTATTATTTATACCCATTATATTTATTAAGAAATCATCTCTACATAGCAGACAAGTGTGGTTCAAGTCCAGACTTTCTTTCAACACTAAAGATGATTACTTTACAAAATCATGTTTTTCCAATCCCAAGTCTGAAAAGTATAGCCATTTAAGATTTCTTGCTTATTTTAAAAGTGTTGTAAAATTCACAAGATCTACCTTTTAACTATTTCACCTCCTCATGAGTTCATAACTACGGGATAAAATACTTACAGAAGCTTTGTCTAGCACTTTCACAGAGGCTGGGTCTGCATAACATCGTTCTCTCAAAGCTCTTTCCAGGGTGAACAAAGGTAAACTGTCCCATTTTCCATACACAACCAAATCAATATCACTGCAAAATATAACACTTGTTATTATTTTCCTAAATCACTAGAATTAAAATTAAACAAAAATTTGAAAGATGATTGGTTTTTTAAAACATATTCACTTCAAAGAGTGTCATAACATACCTTGTTGGTAAGTACAACCCTGTTTTAAAACTTCCAAATATTTCCACCTACAAACATGACAAATGCAGAAAAATATCATGATATAAAACATCTTAAATAAAGAATATACTGAATAGATGTCAAAGAGACTACAATAGTATGGGTTACAAATTTGAGTGAAAAGTGGTATCTTTTCTTATGTTAAACTAATATTTCTAGAGTTTTAGACACAAACCTTTGCATCTGGCCAAAGGTCTTTGACAACATCTTTGATTCTCTGAACGACCTCATTCCTCATGTTTGCTTCTTCTGCAGTAGGTGACATATATTCATAAAAGTCTTTAATTTCTTCATGTAGCCTGAAATTAGAAAAAAAAACTTTAATAAACTCAATTGGATTTGGAAAAACAATTTATGACTACTATATATTCTCTCAAACCATTACCCCAAATAAACAAGTTGTTTGTGTGGTTTTCTTCTGAAATCATTTTAGATTTAAAAAAAAATCAATGACAATTGTGAACAATACTTAAGAAAATTCACAAATCAATACCAAGTGAAATAATTTTTGAAAGGTATAGAATGACAAAATGGAGAGACAGGTTGACATATGTTGTATAACCTTGAAAAAGTAAACAGATAATCTTTCAGCTAATTTTATACACTGCTGTTCTTCATTCTATCACATATTTTACAAAAAACAGAAATATTTCTCAAAAATCTCCCACTTTTTCAATATTTTTGGGTTATTTATTAAGTTTGGGCATTCTTTGAGAGAACTGTGAATGACTTGTCATGCGTGGGCGTGATTGTGAATGAATACTATTTCCCTTGAAACAACAGGTCTATTTAGCTGTACTTACCCTATGACATTTGGTGGGTAGTCCTTTCCTTTTCGGATCCAGGGTGTTAATCCACCATGTTCATGCAGAAAATGTTTGTAGGACGAATGGTTCAGACCGTAAGTGCTGGCCTTGTTCTCTCGTTTTCTTTTAAAGCTGTTCTGTTGATTCTGAATATTATATTGCTTATTCGTAGGCGCATGTTTCTGGGCTAGATTGTTATTTACACTGAGAGAAATAAATTCTGGTGGTCTCTGGTCCAAATTATGATTTGAATTGTTCAGCGACATATTATCCACGCCTATCTGGGTCTCAATGATCCTCGTCCAAATGTCATGGGCTAATCCTAACTGCTCAGGTACATACCAAGCTATTCTTGGATCCATTCAAACTTCTGTTTTTAAAATAATAGAGGAAGGAATTATTTCCCTCGTCCCAGTTCACACAATTTCACTTACATTCGGTCACAATCTGTACAACTGCTGACTTCGAATCTTGTCGTCGGAGAAGCCGACATGCGCATGCGTAAACATTCATTTAAAAAAATCTGGAAATTTCCACTATCGACAAAACGATAGAATAAAGCAATGATTTACCGTAAAGAAGATGAAGAATCTATTCATTAAAATATATTATTTGAATAAGAATAAAAAACTTATTAAAAAAATATTGCCCTGTTGAACATAACCTTTTAGCTGTTGTTAAAAGATAGAAACACCGTTTCTACCAAGATGGCTCCTAAATATACTCTGCTTCCCCATAAGGAACTTCATTCACGGACAGCATGTGCTACTTTGACAGTTTAAATGTGGGGCCCGCCACGGGGTGTTCATGTCATTGCACAACATCGTGTCACCTGTAAAGGAAAAAAAAGAATTGTTTACATGTATACATGTTTATAGTATAATAAAACACCTTTCTGGTTTTGGGAGCATTTCAAAGATGATAGTATTTAAAGTTACAGGTGTTTGGTTGAAGTTGTCCTAATAGTAAACAACTATTCTAAATGTAGTGATTAGGCATGCAGTTTTATGTTATACATTTGAATATTTAAAAAACATCAAACTAATCACTTTCACATAAAAACCATATAATCACAATTTATAATCATTATTACGTTTACTGTATACGTGAACAAAGTTATTCTGTAAAAGGGAAAGGGTTAAGAAAGGGAGGGGGGTGTTCTTTGGGAACCAATGCACGGATCCAAGATGGCGAGAAATAATATAAAACAAGCAAATTCAAAGAATTGTGGTCCTCCACTTTCGGTGTCTTAGTGAGAAAGATGCCATTAAGGCATAACGGTATACTGTGTCAAATATGAACACAACATCATGTATGTCACCAAAGTTATATTTTTGAAAATTAGGTCAAACATGGTCTAGGGGTAAAAAATCATGATAGCATCCTCGGAAACATCTTGTCGCTATATCTCTTCCCATTCAAAAATTTAAATGAAAAATAACACTTTTGAAAAAGTACCTTCATGGTCAAGGTCAGAGGGTAAAAAATCATAGTATATTTAGAAACTTAAAGGTTTTGTCACAGATAATACTTTATAATGAATTTGTAACATGAAAGCCTTATCTTTTCTCTTTCAAAAATTGTGTCCAATTTAAAGTAATATTATTTTTTGAAAAAAAGTAGGTCAAACTTGTGTCCAATTTAAAGTAATATTATTTTTTGAAAAAAAGTAGGTCAAACTTCAAAAGTCAAGGTCGAAGGTAAAAAAAAATCATGGCATATTTTGAAAGGTCTTGTCACAGGTAATGTTCATGTAAAATATGAAAACCCTTACTCTTCTCATTCAGAAGTTAAGACAAAGGTTAAAGTTTTTATGACAGTCGGACATACTGACAGACGATTGAGATTTAATGTCCACTCGCTCTCACGAAATTAAGCGGGGGGGGGGGGGGTTAGAACAAATCGACTAAATGGAGAAGAATGTACCCTGGGGAGAAGGATGAAGACAAACTGAGACGCTTTTTCAGGATTTTGCGTTGGAAAGGGAAGGGTGGGACTTTTCGATGACGAGACGTTGGAAATAACAGCTCCAGGGTGGATCCTTGGAGGAAGGGCCCTCGGAAGCTCATAAGAATCAGAAATAGCGAGGGTGCCTTTTTCAAAATTGTGAATTTCATGGCTCAGCTAGGATATGGGGTTCTGGTGAATGGTGAAAGACGGGGTGTGTGGCTCTAATGATTATATTGTGCCAAATTCTTTGGAAACAATAAATCAATAAAAAGATGCATATATAGTTATGGTGAGAAAGGTTGCCTCATTCAAAATAGTGAATTTGAAGAAACCTATAGGTCAGGGGTTCTGGTGTAAGGACGGGGCTGTATTGATTATATTGTTAAAAGGCACTATTTTTGGAAAATTTTCTTCTCTGCTCATGGGTTTTATTTAAACAAGCGAAGTGCGTGATTATGGGTGGTTCTTTCAAAATAGTAAATTTCCTTGGCCCCAGAACCTGGGGCTCCTGTGAAAGGAGAGGGTTGGTGTTGGAAGCGGCTCTATTTATTTGCCTGTTGTTTTACGTCCCTTTTGAGAATTTTTATGCCCCGCCATGAATATGGCCGGGGCATATAGTGTTTGTCATGTCCGTCTTCCGTCTTCCCGTCCTTCCATCACACTTTGTGTTTAGACCAGTTCAAAGCTCAGTTTCAAAGAAATTATCCAAGATATTTTCATTAAACTTCATTTGCTGATAGATATTGATGAGAGCTATGCAACTGCATCAACATTTTTTTTAATTGACCTTTCCTTTGAACTTGACCTCACTTTTCTTATAATATTGTTTATCTCAGTTTTAAACATACCATTCATGATGGTGTTCTCAAACTTCACTTGTTGATACATACTGATGAGAGCTATTCAACTGCATCACCATTTTTGACCTTGACCTTTCCTTTGACCTTGATCTCACTTTTCTTAAATAAGTATTTAGCTCAGTTTTTAAGATACCATTTAATATAGTGTTATCAAACTTCATACTCGTATGCTGATACAAACTGAAGTGAGCTATTCAACTGCATCAATATTTTTGACCTTGTCCTTTCCTTTGACCTTGACCACACTTTTGGTAAATTAGTGTTCAGCTCAGTTTTAAAGAAACCGTCCAAGATATTTTTATCAAACTTCATATGCTGTCATACTGATGAGCGCTATTCAACTGCATCAACATATTTGACTTTGACCTTTCCTTTGACCTCACTTTTCCTTAATCAGTGTCAAACTTAATACGCTGATACATACTTATGTTAGCAATTCAACGGCATCAATATTTTTGATCTTGACCTTTCATTTGACCTTGACCTCACTTTTATCAAATTGTGTTTAAGTCAGTTTTAAAGAAACCACTCAAGATATTTTTATCAAACTTCATGTTGATACATATTGCTGAGAGATATTCAGCTGCATCAACATTTTGACTTTAACCTTGACTCACTTTTCCTAAATTAGTGGCACACTTCATATGCTGATACGTAGAGTTTAAGCAATTCAACTGCTTCAACATTTTGACCTTGACCTTTCATATGACCTTGACCTCACTTTTATCCAATTGTGTTCAAGTCAGTTTTAGCCATTCTTTTCAACTTCATATTCTGATACATACTGATGAGAGCTTTTCAACTGCATCAACATTTTTTGACCTTGGCATTTCCTTTGACCTTGACCTCATTTTAAAGAAATTAGCGTCAAACTTCATGTGCTGATACATACTGATGTAAGCAATTCAACCGCATCACTATTCAAGATATTCTGATAAAAGGACAAGTGCACTCAAGCAATGCTTAATGGGCCCTTTTTATGTACCATTTTACTTTAGAATATATAACCAAATCGTTCTCTTTTGGAAATAGTTATATACTAGTGTATATTTCTACACGATAATCATCACCCAAATCAGCATGGATTTGAAACAATTAGCTATTTTTAAATGCCTATATGGACACCTTAAAAATCCGGAAAAGTCTTTTAGTTTCGTTTATGTAAATCAAGGCGAAGCGATCTTGAACAATCTGATGGTGGATCATAGTCGGGCGCGTTTGTGGAATGTAACTTTTTTGTGCTATATCTGTTTTAAAAAAATTGAAAGAAGTTGTGTAGTTGCCTGTAGCCATAATAATCAAACTAAGAAATCTGTACTCTTGCATTTGAAAAAATATATACAATAAAATGAATTTAAAATCTAAGAGGAGTGTTTAGGTGGCTTTCAATACCTGTTTCATTGTCTTGCATAAATGTTAAAATGTCTGACACTTTTATGAGTGGCGCTAAACTCTCTTTACCCTACCGTAATCTTAAATATAGATACATAGAAATATTTCTAAGCGGCGCGAATTTGACTAAATGATAAAAAACCTGTCTATGTTTTACAGTGAGCACCTTTGAGGAATGTTTACCTGGGTAGAACTCACGTGACTTTCAGTATTTTAAATAATTTATTCCACAAGTGGGTTCAACATCGGTCATACAGGTAAATACCTCTCACTTGCTATAGGAAAAACATTGTACTTTTTGTACATTTTTAATATTTTAACTACCAGCCTAATCGTGTACAAATTTCCTACTTTCACACAAGTTTTGTAAATGTATTATGCGTTTTTTGTCATTTGCAAGTTTGTACAAAGTTAGGCTCATAGTAAACAAAAGCTTTGAAATGAATGACCGTTCTCGATTTACTATAGAAAATCACAAATGTCGGTTGACCCCTACCGCATTCCATGGTTTTGTTCTTTGTATATACGTGAATTTCAGCGGTAAAATTTGTTGAATCTTACGGTTTAGATATCAATTAATGATTTGGGATGAAAATTTTTGCTTAATTTGAATGTTTATTTTTTCACATTTTACCGGGGCCCATAAGTGCACTCGTATAAAAATTTTCATGTTGCATTTACTAATATACCCTCGGGGCATTCATGTCTTATGGACATATTTGTAGTTCACTCATATGGAGACGCCACGACTTGCCAGTGGACGACCGCAAATTTATACATTTATCCAGCACTCCGGGCCGTTGAGCAGCGAGGGATCTTTTTTGGCCAACACCTACTGCGATGCGGGATCTCGGTTTATACGGACTCGTCCAAAGGGCACTTTCCACGTCCTGCAGTGGATTCGAACTCGCGGCATAAGGACCAGCCCCAGCACCTTACCTTGCGACTTTAGAGCAATCGCTCTAACCACTGTGCCACACATGCAGGTGACGGATGAGAGGAGGGTTATGGATGGTGGAAAAGCATAAATTATTTTCTTCAAAAATATTGTTTTAAAGTAGAGAAACTAAGTGTATCTTTCTGATGAGCAAGGGTGCCTCTTCCAGATCATGAGTTCCTTGGTCCCTGCATGAGTAAGATGTTCTGGTATTTGGATGGGGCTCAATTGATAATTAGGACAATGCTCAGTTAACTTTGGACTTTCAGTAAGGTGTTGCCTTCTCGGCATTACATAAATAGCGTCTGAAATTTACATGTAAACTAATTTCTAAACCAATGAGAATCTACGTATTCGCTATTTGACAGACGTTTATTACGTTGAGCCAAGAATGCCACGCCTCACTGAAAGTCAAAGGTTAACTGAGAACTGTATTATTATATTAAAATGCATTAAATAAGTTAAAATAACCCTCTATTTATTATATGAATCTCATAATTAGTAACACGAGTGTTACTGAAATGAAAATTTTATGAAGTTAGGAAAAACAGTTAGACTCGATCCCGCTTCTGTAAGACAAGTCTTGCAAGGAATACGTACCTTAATTATTTACGTTTGTTGGAGTTGTTACAACACATGTGTCGGTCAAACATGTGTTTACAGGGTGTTTCTGCACAATGTCAATTTAATTGGCTGTTGTTTTTATGGAATACTTGTTCGAATTCGAATAAACCTTTCGTTTGAAAGAAATGGGCGTGGCGCCATATGTCACTCAACGTTCTAAGGAAGGCTCGAAACGTTCCATTCAAACTAAAACTTTACTACTTCATAGTGATGAATTGTTATGTACTGAGAGGCTTCTGTGGTATCATCAAAGAGAAGACATTAATTTCCCGTAGTTTTAAAAATGTTTTTAGTGAAAAGAGCAATCTGCATAAGTATATGGGTAAATATTTAAAATGATATACATATAGAAGTGGTTCTGAATATTATAATTTATTTCAATCACAAGTCAAAGTTGGTTTCCTAAACCAATACGAAAACTTCATCTATTTATACATGACGGTAGTAACAGGTACTCGATCTATTTAAACATAGTTGTAGGCGAGACAATAATCGGAAACACTGGTAGAGCCTATGCCTCTTTGCGCTAAAAATGAAACACGATTCATCATTATAAATGTGATGGATCCTTTTCGGTTAAATTATGTAATTTTTCAGCAGTGAAGACTTACATTCAGTTTTGGTTCTGTCTTTTTGTATATACTTAATTAAGATAAATAAACTATGTCTAAATCAAAACAATTTTCAGAATAACACTGAATAAATTAGTTAACTATTTCTTCTATTCACGTTGATTTCACTATGTGCCTGTAAAATTAATATTTCTTTTTAAAAAAAATACATGTAATCTGATTTCACTTAACAATAATTTAATCAAGCTATTTTAAATATTTCTAAAAAGTTAAAAGTTTTAAAAATTATTTCAGAGATTTATTCAGAAATTTATTATTCTGGGTGTAGATTACATTTTTCTTGTTTTTCTTAACATATAATTTACACGAAAAGTCTAGTTTTAAGAACAAAAAGCTTAATCAGAGACTTTGTGTCCCCCGATTAAGAATCTAAAGGGAAGTCGGGGCGGGGGTGGGGGGTTATGGTATAAAACTACCTTCAAAAAGCTCAAAAGCTTCGAGGGAAATCGCTCGGAAATGAAATTTTTACACGCATTGAGAATGTATATGACCTTGAACTCAGTATCAAAAAGGTCTTTCTTAGCCCATAACAAGTACGTTAGTTGTTGCATAAAATTTCATTACTTCTCGATTATGATATTTTAAAAATAATATGTTGTCAGCATTAAATATCAGTTAAATATATATCTCGAATTCCCCGTTTATATCGAAGTCGATCGCTGGTCCCGGTCGCATTCTCTCTCTCTATCTCTCTCTGATTAGAGAAACTCCTGATATCTCGAACACGGTAAATATTTTCAACACATTCCATTCATTTTTATTTTAAATCACAATTATTGAATAAGGTATTGCATCGTCCCGTCCAACTTAATCACCAAAAGAAAATACTTGGTTTAGTAAAGATTTTTTTTGCCTGTTTTCTATCTTTCTTGTCTGAGAGCGTGGGCGGACCTATAAAAATCCACCAATCAGATTCTTTGCTGGATTTCGCAATTTGTATTTCAGTCAGTGTATCGTCTCGCAATGCATCACCATTTCGGTTCAAATATGCAATAAATAACTAAAATTCATCCTGTTGATACAGGGACCTATATACTATATTATATTATATTATAAACTAGTATTATAGGTCCCTGGTTGATATAACTCCATCGTCTCAAGGTACGGTTGGGAGTCTCTCTCTCTCTTCCCGTCGTATACTAGCCGTGGTTTGCGACGATGAAATTACTCATGAATCATGAAAATTTATTTAGTCGATTATACTCATGAATTTGTATTTCACCCTGATGTGTTTTTACATATATGCGGCATTCTTAAAGGAGCAGAGACACAGATTTGAAGTTAATATTTCTCAATTTTTCTGTATAATATCTGACTTATATATTGCAATAGCATTTCGCACGAAAATATATTAAAAATCTTATTTCATCTAAAAGTTATTGAAACTTCAAATTTTTAGATGGGTTTGATTGACACACCCTTGCACTTTCACAAATTTTAATTTTATTCTTAATACGTAGGAAAAGTTACAATCTTATTGTGTATAAATGAAAAATACAAAAACTATAATCCAAACTATTCAGACTAGAAATGTTCGAAAGCAAAACATACACACAATATACCGGTATTGTCAATCCGTGCAGTTGTGGTGAGCAGACTTAAACAATTGAACACACCCGGTGAATCATAAACCTTGAAGTATGATTCTTCTCTGACTAGATGAACTATTCAAAGTATATTTGCTTTCATGTCTTATTATTTAGGTGTAAGAGATTTAAAAGACCATATTTTTCTATCCTCAACACAATTGTACAACTTTGAATAGAAATGGTAAACTGCTATTGAAAACTAGCAAGGACTATATTTTTGGCGGAATGGTGGCCAATGGAATGGCGGAATATGAAAATATCTTCTTTTCTGCTTCTCAAAATTATTATAGAACAATGAATTTAGTTATAATTTTTACAATTTTCAAATGTAATTTAAATCAATAGTAAGGGACTGAACAAAATATATCAAATAAATACAATTTTTCAAACAAACTAGAACAGTATTAGTTTTTAAAAGCTACCAATCTACGGACATGCAGATTTGAGCCTAAAATCCGTAAAAAGTATTTTTCCACTCTTAGTAAACGATCAAAACCTTTTGTTCTTGTATCATTTTGTATCGTTGTGTGACAACTTTACTATATGCGAGAATAAGAAAAATTTAAATATAGAAAGCATTTGAAAATAACTAATATATCCTAAAAATTTAAGAAAAGCAGAGAAAATTCAGATTAGCCAATATCCATTTTAGTTAGATAATTTATGTCAATTTGGTAAAATCATCTTATAGGCCTTATATGGTAATTTCTTTTTATGTGAAAAGAAAAACATTCAATCTTTTGAAATACAAGTAGGGATCGCATGGTTGGAAACAGTATTTTTTTTTATTCTAATGTCCAGGGAAAAGGTTATGATCTAGTATAAAACGGTCAAATTTAATCTCACTGATACCATCACCTTGTGATTTTGTATTCTTGATTCTGTGAAAATTTCATTAATTTTTAAATACAAGAAATATGAGAAGAATCCTACCTTAACAATAACAGAGTTCGTGCCCTGTTTACAAAAACTGTGTACGTTTCACGGGTGTGTTCAATTTGCTAAACTCTGTACACAACACTTAGCGCGGAATGACGATACTTGTGAAGGGGTTTTGCTTTCGAATATTTCTACTCTGAATATAATTATGTATTAAAACATATACGTCATGATAGTACACAAAAAATATTAACTTCAAATCTGTGTCCACTAGATGCACCTTTAAAAGCAGACATGTTTAGTTTCAAGGATAGATAACATTACTATAGGAACGTTTTGTTGTAGAAAGAATACATGTTCCTTTTTTATCCAAATTTGATATAGTGCAAAAGACGGACATCATGCTGTTTAGCTCTGAATGCATCTTTCCGATCCGAAATCAACTCGAGAGTTGTAAAGTAGATCGGAAACCATTGGCTAGCGAAGATGCTCTCAATACAGACGAATTATCGATCGCCCACGTGGCGCAGTGGTTAGAGTGTCTGCTCTTGAATCGCGAAGTAAGGAGTTGATTCTTACGTCGCAGGTTCGAATCCCACTATCGGACGTGGAGACCAGTCCTTCGGATGAGACCGTATTAACCGAGGTCCAGTATCACAGTGGGTGATGGCACGAAAAAGATCCCTTTCTGCTCAATGGCCCTAAGTGCCGAGTATAGGACAAAATTAATTTGCAGCTCTCCACAGGCAAGTTTTGGCGTCTCCATATGAGTGAAAAATTCTCGAGAGGGACGTTAAACAATACACAATCAATCAATCAATCATCTGTATGAAATATACAGATATAATTCTGCAAATAGTATTCAGTTTAATAACAATTATGCATAAGCCTAAAGAAAAGGAACTCACGAAACTTTGAAACACTATGGAAATTCCAGTTTGGGTAAATTTTATTTGGAATTATCCAAAACTTTAATTAAAAAAAATATTTAAATGTGCAATTATTTTTAATTTCAGTTCGCCCCATTTAAATAACACAGGCAATTGATCAACTGTGCCATTTTGCATAATTATAACACAGTGGATGACAATTTTTGTTACGTTCTGGGAAAGGAAACCTGTAACTTAAAAACCGTATCGAATAGCAAATTACTTATTCTTAAAATAAAAAAGCAATTTCCCAACACATCTATATAAATATACCCAACGATCGGACCTGGTGTGAAATAGATTGTTTGGGATAAACCAAAAGGTATGTAATAAACAAATTATTTGATTTTCAAACCCAAAAAATTCTTAAAATAATTATTTCCCACAAATAATTTTTTAAAAATCTTTGCGATAAGCTTTTGTGTAAATATTTTCCACTTACTGAGTATTTTGGAAAATTTTAAATCTTCACATTTTCGCTCAAAACAAAATTTTATTCTCTTATTTAGAAGACGAAACAAAGTTTTATTATATTTTTTTAAACTGGTTCCTTCTACCTACTTCAAAAACTTGAATTGTAATTTTTTTAAAAAAAGATTTTGCGTTTAACTTATACCCGTTTGTTTCGCCCCTCTCCCCCTCATTTTACCAATTGACCTGGATATGTTATTACCATATTCTACTTTCAATTGTCCTGTTGCTATCGTATGTTTGACTTTTTAGACATTGTAGATGCTGAGCTTCGTTTTGGTAAATACCGGTATATACTAAGTAGCTTTCTATCTGGTTTAGTTTAAAGGCCTATACATGCACGAAACAGATCTAATACAATTTTCATAACCGCCCAGAAATCATTCGAAATGATCTCTAAAAGAATGAGAGCGTATAAGGTGAGGGAAATTCCCCTGATCTATGGTTCTCAATTTTCAAAGTTCATGGAAAACAAGATGGGAGAACTAGGAATGCAGAATGTCTATAGCTTCAGCTATTAACAAATCATATTCATTATGTGAATTGTGTATTTAAGTTAAGTTATCATTATTGAAATTTATGAAATTATGAAAAACAAACCTTTTCTAAGAGAAAAAAATCTCAGAAAAAATTACTCTTTTAATGAAATATAAAATGGAATTCGTGGGATTCGAACTCAAGCAATAAAAATCTGGAGAATCGTACTGCTTTGAGACTTACGCGCTATAACCACTATGCTATATGGATCAAGATTATTAATAACATTTAAATCCTGTTTATAATATATATGACCCTTGACTTAATAGACTAGAAGTATTTCTGGGAAAGATGCGAATGTTTTGTCATAAAAGTGTAATTTTAAGGTAAAGTGGGTATTTGGTCCATGTTTTTGTAAACCAAAAATCATATGCAGGAGTTAAAACCCCTCATTGTCACATTATTTTTAAACAAAAAGTTTTTGCCGAGTAAATGCATTCTGCTTGCCTTGTTCACCCATCTCCATTACGACATGTTCACTTCAATCGAGATTGTCGAGATATACTCTTGTATAACCTATTTATTTGTCAGTAGACAGTTTCGATTTAGAAATTGCATGTTCGTAGGCAGAACATGCCTTTGCGTATAATATGATCCAATCCACGTAAACATGCATCATATGCCGGTGATAATGGTAAATTGCTAGCTATAAAGAAGGAAAGTTGACGAACAAATGCTGAAATCTAACATTTCTGTATAAAGAAGGAAATATTGTGTTTTATTTGTTGATATGATTATAAATCTTAGATTTGCTTTAGTATACAGTATGTACCATTGCTGTGGTGAATTTGGTTTTTAAATCTTACCATTGCTGTAGTGAAATTAGAAAATTATACATCCTACCATTAATTGTTGAGATGAATTTGGTTATAAATCTAATTCTTATAACTGCTGTCGCCGTTTCCAATCCCACTTCGGGACGTAGAGATAGATGAGCCAGGATAAACCAATCAGGCCCCGTGTCGTAATAGGTGCTGACACGTCTCAATGGCACTGAGTGCCAAGTACAGGTCTAAATTTGCAGTCCTCCTACAGCAAGTGGTGGCGTCTCAGTATGAGTAAAAAAAATCCTGATAGGGACGATAAACAACACAAATTCAAAAGATGTGAAATGTGATAGACATACAACCTAAATGCCCTGAAGAATTTTGGGTGTCCTCGATTGAATATTTTTCTCATTTTGAATCGCAATCTCAAAACCTTTTATTTATCAAACAAAATACAGAAAGAAGATGAAGAGAAAGGAATTCTTGTTTGTTGTCACTTGCGCAGCAGTCTTTGAATTGTCGTCTGCACTTCTGAAGCCAATTCCGTTTCCGGTCGAGTTGGAAGAATGCTACAGATTACGCTCCTACAATACGACGCCGTCTGATTCAGTTGCCCTTGAAATACAGGATTTCTGCTACAAAAGTTATCATTATAAGATGATAGCTGCTGGTAAAATGTGGTCCGGCCCAAACATCACACAGAGCGAAATTAACTACATTAACAGTTTATTCCGACAAATCTTTGCTGAAGCAAGGGAAGTTGAGAAATACAATGAGAAAGGTGGACGACACAAACGACAAGCATTCCCAGGAAGATACAGACAGGAAGTGCGAAGTCCAGGCGCCTTCCGGCGGTTTGTAGAGTGTATAGATCGCCTGGAGAGAGAGGTAATTATTCAGTCACATTTTGAAGACATTTTGTGAATTTTATATTGTAGGGTTTTGAGATGTACGAAAAAAGGTTTTGATTTGACGAAAGATCGATGTCAATTACATGTATATGTAGAAAAAATGCTTTACACGCCATATTAAACAAGTTAAGGTGTGTTACCATTCGGAATTTTATATTCAAAAGAAAAAAACAGTAAACTATCAATGTTTGATATTAACGGACGTAAGTTTAAGAACGATATCATCCTCTCGAGATGAATATATCTTTTATGTTGGCATGGCAGTTTTTTGCTCAAGACTTGAGTAAAAAAAAAAACAAACAACGAAGTGTAAATGTGAAAAATGGTAATCCAAAAAGCATTTATAGTTGGCAGATTTTAAAAATAGTGATGATATATAGTATAATGCTAAGTGTGAATGAATACATGGTAAATCTCAATGTTTTACTGGTGAAAAATTTATTTTAACAATATAAATAAACAATTTCCCAGATAGATCCAAGGTCCGGGCGCAACAGATACCAAACACTCTCCCTTTTCCACACCGGACCAGCATTGGCTAGCGCTCACAGAGGGCCCGCTTTTGGCCCATGGCACAGAATATACCTACTCCTGTAAGTTTTTACTTTTCTCATAATATACAGTTATTTAATAGAAATGAGGGCAACATATGATTTGTTGGACCTGAAGGTGAAGGTTTCCCGAGGCCGCAGACAGGCAAACAGTAAAATTATTAGATCGATGTAATATGATTTGTTGGACATGAAGGTGAAAATATTGTCCGAGGCCGCAGGTAGGCCAACCGTTGTAATAAACATTACTTTTGTTCGACTTTTTATGAGTAATTATTATATAGAAAGATATTCATTAGGGTATATTTCACTTTAGGCCCTCACAAAATGCATAAAAGTACCATCAACAAATTAAATCAACATAACAAAGACGTAACGGTATCTATTCTAGGAAACTTCAAGTCGTTATGCATTTCAGAATCTTAAATTAGTAGCAAAAGTCTTGTGTTGTTATATTCTAATCAGGTGAACAAGTTTAAGCCAACCAAAGACCTTTGAAATATAATGGATGTAATTGGTCGCAATATAATTTGCATATAAAAGGCCGGAGTTTATGCGTTAAATTATAATGAGCAAACTGATTGATCATTTAATTTTTCAAACTCAATTTTCCTTATAAAACTGTTACATAACATTTGTTTTCATCATTTAAATACTGTGCCAATGAAAAAAAATCTTGAAAATTAATTGGTATTGAAGAAATAAGAAATAAGGTATCATTTTGAATTTTTAAGATTAAGGGTTTGAACTCGAGTTATAAATACTTATTTATGTTCATGTAAAGTTTGAAATAAAATTTTGTCACAAAATGTTTCAAATATTCGAATAACTTTCGAATACTGCAATCGAAAATTCGACAAAGGAAAAAAATATTTTGACATCCATAATTTGGTTATACATACGAGGGTTGTCCAAAAAGTTCGTGGACAATAACGTTTTTGTTAAAATACATTTGTAAATGGTTCTATATGCATCTATTGTATATCAAAATATTTCTCATAAAAAAAAGTCAGAATGATTTAATTTTTATTGATGAAACTTAATATTTTTGTAAAAATCGGGGTCTTTAAAGATCGCAGAATGTGCGCACGGGCCAGTCTGACGTTACGCTAATTTCATTATAACGTCAAACATTTGGATTTTGACTTAACACATGTTGATGGACACACACTACATTTCTTTTTTAAGGCGCAATGCACTTCGAAGTGCTAGCAATGATCTTTAAGTATAGATTATAATTCATTTAATTTTTAAAATTCAAAACAATGCACATAAATTTACGAGCGTCATCTAAATTAACAGTTTGTATACCCAAACTGAACAGCCCAGTCCGACGCTGCGCTAGATTTGTACACACTGTTGAAAAATCGTATATACGAATCCCAAATCGATGCATTCAATATATTTAAATAATTTTGAGTTGCTTTAACAAATATTTTGTCTCTTACATCGTTTCAACCGTTATAATACTTAATTTTTTGACGGAACGCTGCCCCTTGCCGACGGACGACGTCACTTTTTCTGTTGAGTTTTGACATGTATTTGCTAAGGTTTTCTTTGTGTATTTTGTTGTCTATATAGTAAACGATATTTAAGATATTATAAAATGAAAATAACCTTTTTATTTGTGTTACATAAAATTTTTGTTAACTTTTGACTTGTTTTATTTAGAAAATAATCATTTTAATCCGAACTCTTTATATCAGAGTTTACATCATTTTAACCTTGGTCCGTGCGCAAGTTATCCGCGACCTCTAAAGACCCCGATTTTTACAAAAATATTACGTTCCTTCAATAAAAACTAAATCATTCTGACTTGTTTTTTCATAAGAAATATTTTGATATACAACAGATTTATACAGACCCATTTATTTTCACAAAAACGTCATTGTCCACGAACTCAATAGCAATAGAAGGACACTTTTTCGCGACATACGATGATACCGTTGTCGCAAGTTTTTCTTACATCATGTACATAGGCTTACCTCATTTCTTCACCCTCATAATGAATATATAATTCCTTTAAATATGATTTATGTATTTATAACCTTATTGATAGTAAAATTTAGGTATATAGTATGTAACAATATAGAAATTCTGATTGAAAGATAATCTTAGGATAAATTTAATGTGACTTTTCTTCCTTTTATTACAATCATTTTCTATTCTTGATTAGAAATAGAATGTAGCACATAAAATATAAATTCATGTATACTATCTGGTGTCCCACATTTGATATTACAGTACATGAAGATACAATATATGTAATTATACTGAATTCAAAATTGCTTAAGTTTGTATTTAATTATAGTAAACTATTTAAAATATATAGTTACAATATTTTTTAGTGATAAATAACATTTTATCACATTATTTATTTTGTAGTTATCAAGCTTACAATTTAATGTCAATATCTCTTTTGTTTGTTTTACCTAAAAAAAAATGTTAGTGGCAGATAATTAAGATTTTAAACTTCTGTCATATGACACAAATACAATTACATATATTATGGCTGTAAAATATCTTCCAGAGTGTAAAAAATTACATATGTACATCTTTCTTTGCTATTAAGATATCAAATTCCATCATTTATTTCATAAAAACGTCTACAATTTATATTTAGAATTTTGAAGGTCATTGTTAATGCTACTTTCACTTTCTGATTTAATTTTAGAACACTATAGGACAAGACTCTTGTTTTAGATTAAAACAGATAGCATGGTCTTTCTTCAAGTAAATTTCTGCTTTTAACCCTAATTCAGACTGTCAAATCAGGCGCGGATCCAGAAATTTTTTCTAGGGGGGGTCCACCCCAGTCAAAAAAAAAATCCAATCCCAGAAATTTCTTGACAAGAAAAAAAAAAAAAAAAAAAAAAAAAAAAAAAAAAAAAAAAAAAAAAAAAACCTCGCCCAAACGTCAAAAACCTATTTCGTGGGGGTGGGGGGGGGGGGGGGGGGGGTGGGCAGTGGTGGCATCTATTGCCTCAAATAGATACCACTTTTCATATCCATTTCAGACATATTCGCTTTTACCGGGGGGGGGGGGGTCGGCGTTTTACCGAGGAGGTCCATGGTAACTTTTTTCTTATTTTAGTATATAAATTTTTTAACCAGGTAAATTCCAGGTGGGGTCCTGACCCCCCCCCCCGACCCCCCCTCTAGATCCGCGCCTGCAAATGATTAAAGTAATTACCTAATCACCTGTAATTGAAAGTGTAGGTACCGTAGTGCGAGTTCATTACGTAATCGTCTATGGCAGGAGGTGTAACCTGTTCATTAGCCTTAGGTAGTCTGGCTTGGACACACTAATTATTTTAATGAGTAAAAAGGACAATCAGAATGATATTGGTCACTCACAATGGACACAGGGGCGCCTGTTATGGGCAGAGGGGCGCACTGATTTGAGGGCGGGGCGCAGCGCCCCTCTATTTCCCCCTAGCTGGAACACTGGTTCAACTTTTTGGACAACCCTCGTAGGGAAATAGCTGTAAATATGAGAAATATAATCCTTCAGGCTCAGGGTATATACATAGAATGAAAACCGGGGTCTTGAAAAGAGTCTTGTTAATCCTTTATTAAATCTGAAAATATATATATTTAATAAATAGTCAGTAATATGCATATTTTATATGTACTAAGTATAAATATTATTTATACATATAAAATATGCCTATTACTGACTATAGATATATATTAACTATACCTTATAAGATGAGAGTATATTATTCTCCTCATGTTCTTCTTTACTCAGTGTGGAGACGGCATGTAGAGCCCCTATCCCCTACTGGGATTCCACTCTTGATCACGAGATTGATGACCCTACTGATTCCATTGTTTGGAGTGATGAATACTTCGGAAATGGTAACGGTGTAGTCATACGTGGGCCTTTTCGAAACATGCGAACAGTGTTAGGTGGCCCCATAATCAGGAACTATGGAACAGGTTTGACATTACTTAAATATCTAGGGTTCAAATAAATACAGTACACTTGATAATTTTAACTAATGTACACGGGTTTCTCTGTTTTATGCACTGCTAATTGTTTTGTGTAGTAATAGAAAATGCTTATACTTAAATATTATAATTCCAAGCTTTCTTTTAAAATATTAATATACATCAGTTAAAAGTCAAGGTAATATGTTTTCCTGATCACTAAATGGCTAGAATTTTTAAAAATGCTCATTATTATGTATAGGACAAAGCGCCTTGTTCACCAAGGAGGGTCTCAGGGCCGTTTTGAGTCGAAGAAGATATGGAGATATCACAGAGCCTAAAGTAGGACAGCAAAGGGTCTTTTCTCTGGAAGCCCATCACAACGGTCCACATAATTGGATAGGTGGACACATTTCAGGAGAGAGTAGTGCGGCATTCGATCCGGTTTTCTTCCTTCATCATGCATATGTTGACGCTGTCTGGGAACGCTTTCGAGACCGGCAAGCTGCCAATGAGATTGATCCAGAACGAGATTATCCTAGCCCCCCTTATCCTCCTGGTCATGCTCCTAATGATATAATTGACTTCCGTCCTTTTATTGCTCCAATAACTAATATCTTTGCTATGTCGGATCTTGTCGCAAATCTTGTCAGATATGAACCTTTCCCAACTTGCTCGAATCAGTGTAATGGTAGTCCACATTTGCGTTGCCAACGGACTATTTCTGGTCAAGTGTGTGTGTCTACAGTTCGGACTGGTGGACGAAGAGGTTTTGGAACATCTTTCAGACGGCCTCCGCCAGGAGTGCCGGAGTTTAGAGATAGTTCTTCTGTCGGAATTGGTGCAGGACCCACTGAAGAGTCTCCATCAGACTCAATGTTGATGGCTCGGGCAAGCGGGCCAATTCCTGGAGGTAACAGATTTCCAGAATCGCCATTTAATGATAGGCGGAATACAGGAAATCCAATAGAGTTGGCTCCAGAGGCACCTGCAATCCAGGCAGCTAGGATGGCAGTGAGAGAAGTTGTTCAAGAACGAAAACGAAGGGATGTCTCTACAGTATCTCAAAATGGTACAACGAATGATGTCTCTCATCATCAGTCGGTTTCCTCCCTTGAACGGTCTTTTACAAACACATTCCTTATTGACGGAGAAATAGATCTTAAGCGATGGGTTTATGTCCCAGTTCGTGTTGTGCACACTAGATCTCTGAATGTCGACGGTGTTGACCCCACCTTTTATGGAGATGTAGAATTGTCAAAGGAACTTTGTCCCACAGTTCAATCTGGTGCTTCAAAGGTGTTTGTAGCTTCCAATGGTTTGGACTATTTTGGAACATATAAAGAGTTTGTGATAGTAGATGAAAGGCAATTAGCTTCGGTTACAACAACTGCTGTAGGGATAAAGAACCCGGATTATGGCGAGGGAGAGGTTCTGTTCACTGCGCATGACTCTTGTGGAAGACCTTGTCGACCTCTGTGTTTGACAGAAACCAAAGGACAACAGAAATATAAGGCGTGTTCCGGAGCTTTTAAGATCTCGTCTGCTAATCCTAAGATGTACAAACCTACGTACAGAGATGCCACGGCTGGTGATTGGATACTGCACAATTCAGTAGATTCATTTTCTCTGGATCCACAAACTCCTGTTACCTTTGTTTGTGGAAATGATAAAACATGGCCCTGGGAATTTTAGAATTTATTACGTATACAGTGCAGAGGAGAGATTGTCACAAATTTTACTGATCTTTGCAACTTTGAGATAAATAAAGATTTCGCAAAATAACAGTGATTCCTGCAATATATTATTATCATTAAAAATAATTATGTTCAAATTCATTTAGCGTTGTTTTATTTCCTTTATATTCAATAAAATTGGAACTGACTGTTTTCATTTCGTCTAGTATACATGTACTACATGTACTACTAGTTTTAATCAATTCTAATGAAAGCTTGAAAAAAAATGACAACAATTAAAAGTAACATTCAAATGTACGAGTATGCTCTGCATGTTTCAGCGTAAATGTAAGCTTTAAAACTCGGTATTTAGAAGGCTGTGACTATGTAATTGATACCTAGATCAGAGTGACTTAGCATCGTTACTTAAAAGGGGGTACCAGAGAAAAAATTCAACTTACATGGGAAAATCAGACAAGCCAAAAATATTTTTGTTAGAGGAAAATTATCCAAATTCCAAAAGCCGATTTCGGTGTGGGGGGTGTTAAGGTAGGATTCTTCTCACACAAAACTGTATTTCTTATATTTAAAAATTAATGAAATTTTCACAGAATCATGAGGACAATATAACTAAGTGATGGTATTAGTTTGATTTGTTTTGACCGTTTTATATTAGAGTCAAGGTCAGGTCAAGATCATAACCTTTTCCCTGGTCATTAAAAATAAAAATAACTGCATTCAATCATGAGATAGGGTCTTCCATCTCAAAAGATTAAATGTTTTTCTTTTTGCATAAAAAGATATTACCACATAGGGTCTATAAGATGATATTACCATATTGACTCAAGTAGTTAAACAAAAATGGATTTTGGCTAATCCGAATTTTCTCTATTTTTCTTAAATTTTTAGGATATTTAAGTTAATTTTATATGCGCCCTATATTTAACTTTTTCTAATTTTCACATATAGTAAAGCAGTCATATAGAGATACAAAATGATACAAAAACAAAAAGTTTTGACCGTTTAGTAAGAGAGTAAAATCACTTTCAATGGATTTTTGGCTCATATCTGTACTTAGAGTCGTAACTTTTAAAAGCAAACATAATTGTAATTTGTTTGGAAATTCATATTTATTTGATATATTTTAAAACTTTAGTTCCTTATTATTAATTAAACGAACATTTGAAAAATTATTCTAGTCTTTGATTGTGTAAAAATTATAAGTAAATTTGTAATTCTATAATAATTTTGAGAGGCAGAAAAGAAGATATTTTCATACGCCACTATTCCGCCCAAAACATAGTCCCTGCTAGTTTTCAAACACAATTGACCATTTCTATTTCAAGTTGTGCAATTGTGATGAGGAAACAAAAATATGGTCTTTTAAATCTCTTTCACCTAAATATATAAGACATATAAGCAAATATACATTGAATATTTCCTCTACTCAGAAACCAGAGAAGAATCCTACCTTAAGGTTTGAACTTTTTTAGTACCAATGTTTTTTACTCAAACATACAACATTACCCTTATCTGCAGCAAAAAGTGGGGGCGGTTTTCAATGAACACTTTCTAAAACGAGGTAAGTTATTGACAAACAAGTCACAGTTGATGATGCAAGACCGCTCGGCAGGGGATGCTCATATCCCCATATTGGTACCTGATCCTACCTCTGATGTTTTAGAGGTCCGTGCTTTCTCCGCTCCTGTTTTGTATGTTTAATCAGAGACATTAAGGTTTAATGGACTTTTGAGCTCGAATACTGTACGTTAAAAATTATCCCCACATATTTCATCTTTAGAAAAAAGTTATGCCTGAAAAAATGATTTGAGGGGGGGGGGGGCTTATGCTAGATACGTGCCTGAATCGTGCATATGGTACAGAGAAAGTTATTTGATTTACAAGATACAAGATACAAGGTTTTATTAATCCAATTTGGGCCCCCGGAGGAGCAAAAAGATTTACAAATAGAAGGAGGAGGATCCAAATGATAGAACAAGCATGATGATGATATTACAAATAAAGAGCAATTGTTTAAAAAAACCCAAAAAAAGTATATATAGAGGATATTCAATGTTTTGTAGTTGAATGTGGAATTTATTTCACGAGTGGGACAGGATTTTTGATATTTTCACGAGTGCGAAGCACGAGTGAAAATATCAAAAAATCCTGTATCACGAGTGAAATAAATTTCATATTCAACTACAAAACATTGAATTTTCTGTTTATTACATTAAAAAAAAGAAGAAATCTTTGATTTTTCCTTTGCCTCAGTCTTTTTGTAATACAGTCATAGGCTCGTGACGTCATAGAATGAGCGGTTGAGACGTCATAGCTAAGTGAGGTGAAAACACTGTAAACATGGATTTAGCAACATATTTTTGGTAATTTGACAGTTTTATTCGCTGTCAGAATGGTTTATTTATTTCCATCTATTTATATTAAGTCAAGGAATATTTTTTTTACAGCAATCTTCGTTATGGGAAGGGATATTGAGAGTTTTCCCGCACTTCTGATATTCGTCACACTGTGACAGGATATCATTTTGATATCCTTTCATACTGTGACAGGATATCATTTTTATTCAATGAATAAATTACAGTATTTCATGGGTAAAAATGTAATAAAAGAGATATACTGAATATACATACATGTATCGTATTGTAAGTTACATACAAATATATATAATTTATACATATATATATATATAGTTAAAGGCAAGAAACTGGGAAAGAGGTATATAATTTTTTTATGCTTATCACAAATTATCTTCAATTAAGGTAAATTACTAAGGAATCCAGCAAGTGATCTAAGGATGTCTGGGTCTTCATTAGTCATGAGCCAATAAAATTGATTATCATAAGATAGAGACTGAAAATTTTTACATTTAATTTTACAAATATTTATGAGTTCAAGTCTTTGTACATTAAGATGAGGACATACAAGGAGAAAATGAATTTCATCCTGAATCTCGTTGTGATTTATAACTGGGCAGATGCTAGCAAATAAAAAAAAAATCCTCTCCTTAAAACCACGGTGCCTTATTTAAAAGAACATTATGAAAGTATATTAACACGATTTCAAAGATCTGTTCAATCTAGGGCGAAACAAATAAGGTGAAATATATAACAAAGTAAAAAAGTATTTACGATACATGACTTAACTTTGTCCATAAGACGGCTGAAATGTTAACTCTCTGGACATATTTTGCTCAGTTTGGTATACATACCTGTAATAATTTCGAAAAAAAATGAACAGATTGTAGTTATTAAGATATCAGATTTTTAAATGTGTCAATAAATATATGTTTAACAAGATCAAGGGGGCTGGTGGTCGTGGCCATTTTAAAACTAATTTTGATCTCCTTTAAAAGATCTCCATATAAAGACATACAAAAATAATCATAAACTAAAATGTATGAAATTTATCTTTGTCAAATGATAGTTGACAACTTAAGATATCATATCTAAAAATTCAAAAGTTATATCTGGTGGTTAATTTGTTATAAATTACAATAATTTGTTGACCCCCCCCCCCCCCTTGAGCCTCCTTAATCTGTTAATAGAATCCTTCTCAGGTGCCTGACTCCCGGAGAAAAAAAATGACTATTGCTTACTCAGATTAGAAAAATAAACGCGAATAAAGTTTTTCAATTAATCTTCTGTATGATGAAATATTTTAAAAGATCTAAGGGACTAAGGCAGATCACTCTAACTACTGTTTACTTCTCTTTCATGTATATAGTGCATAATATATGAAAATGTCACTGATTATGCATTGTATAAAAGATCCTTAATCACAAAGTGCAAACACTTATCTTCAGTTCACTATTTCACTATATGTTTGTTTGGTTTGTGCTTCTTGATATAAACAACAAAATCAAAAAGTTTGCACATTTGTCCTCATCGATGGACTTTTCCGGAATAATAGTATTTACCGTAGAAGCTTTGCACTACTATGTAGGCAGTTGCATTTCCGGTGATAAATCCTGAGCCTGAGCCGAGGCTTGGTTTGTTTACCACAGTAATTCAACTTCAAATAAAATGGTGAATCATGAAAATTCTACACACATGATAAAAGAAATCATTATTCGACCAAATGTAGAAGAATTAGAAAATGAAAAGGCTAGATACGATTGCCCTCTGCCGTCTTGTACAGCCACATTGAGAGGAATCGGTTTTGTTCCATCACATTTGAGAAACGTGCACAATGTGGTGCTTAACAACAAGGTATGGAAAACAACTTTTATCTTTGGTCAAGTAAATGCCACTCTCTTGAATCTCATACAGTTTGCTGAACTCGTATTTTTAACTAGAAACATTCACAACGACGACATCACACCACTGACAGTTGAATCACGGCTTGGGGTAAAAAGCTGAGTGGAGTGGAGTGGAGTGGAGTCGTGGAGTCATGGAGTGGAGTCGTGGAGTGGAGTCTGTATTATAAAAATACAGGAAGTTTGAGAACAAAACAATTTCTTTTGCATACAATATCTCCCCTTCATTGTCGTTTGGGATTTGTGTACACTGTACCAAGAATGAAACAAGAAACAAAAGAAGTCCATGCAATCAAAACCTAACGACCTTTAAATGTCAAACAGAGAATCACCTAGAAATGCTTTACTACGTAATATATAAACACTATCTAAACTTAGCAAGACTTTTTGACCTTATTCGCCAATCCCAAACAGGCCAACCTAGCAAGAGGTGTTGACAGCTTTAATATCAAACAGAGAAAGAGCACTGCACTGCAGAACTGATGACAACTACATAATTATAAAGGCACATATTTTTAAAAAATAGGTTTCATTATTAAAGATATCCTCTTTGTTGGAATTTGAAGGTCACAATTTCTTTTTCTGTATCTCTATCTTTGTATATAAACATATATATCTAAATATTTACACGCTTATATCCCTTTTAGGAGACATGCTTCAGAATATAGGTGTTAATAGACTCGACTGACAAATACATATCATACAGCTGTGAAACATAAAATGGATAAATTTTTTTTAAATGTTTGCTGAGAAACTGGTGTTGCTATGTCTGATTTTTGAAACACATTTTAAACGATGATGCATTACTTATTTTTCAAATTTTAAACCTTTGTTTCTTGAAGAGGAACTTGTGATACTTTATTCTTATAATTAGTTTTGTCACCTGCGTGGCACAGTGATTGGAGTGTCTGCTCTGTGTCGCGCAGTAAGGAGCTGATCCTTACATTATGGGTTTGAATTCCACTGTGGGACTAAATAGAGACCGGTCTTTCAGATGAGAACGCAAACATCAATATCCATTGTACTGTGTCGCAGTAGTTACTAGCACGAAAAATACCCTTCACTGCTCAATGATCAAGTATAGTGCGAGTATAGGACAAAAATTACAGCTCAATCTCCATCCGCAGGTGATGGGGTCTAAATATGAGTTTAAATTCTTGAGAGGGATGTAAAACAACATACAATTAGTCACAAAATTAGTTTCACCAATATTTGATCAAGCTTATTTTATAATGTGACCAGAACAAAAATTATACATATCATAAGTAATGGGGAAAAAAGTGCTTTCGTTGTATTTTGCTGGTCAATATATATAACATGCAGTCAATGGAGAATTTAAAAGAAAGTTTATCCCAATAGCGATGTGCTGAAATGTATTTGTTATTCAATTTTATTTTTAAAAAGATGACTAGTTCAAGCAGGATGTTGTCAACTTTATGTTGTTCTTAAAATTTTATGGTTTGCTACATTGTACAAAATATTCAATGATTTGTCAAAAAATCATTACATTCAAATCAATTTAATTTTATTTTACTTGTATTATATAATGCGGTAGCTTTCAATCTCTATCTAAATTATTTTTTAAAAGTAAAACTATCTTATTTAATTGTTTGTTATTTCTCATTTTGTGTAAATTTGCAACTCTGCTTTTGGGCGTAGAGGTTAGCAGGTATTGGTAAATTGTAGGAAACACTACAGAACGTTACTATATAGTAGATGTAGAGCTATGGAATTCAAAAAATTACTCAGGTAATCGAACACAATCCCTCCTTTCCTTTTCAATTCCAAAGGCCCAAGCTATAGCTGTCTGTGATCATTGAGAGAATGTTACAATAATAGTTCATATATATTGTAGATGAATGAGAAAATGGGGGGATATAACCTTCAAATGTCAACACATCAATGGGAATAACTTTTTGTTTTGAGTAACAGAGACCAAGTGACCCATATGCACTCCCATTCCAACAGGCGAGAAGTGTTGACAGATTTAATTACTGCGCTTGAAATGCTTACTCAGTTGTTGATTGTAAATAAAAATTTGCTTGAAAAAGAACTGAATTAAGTGGTATGTTGCTTTTGTCAGCAAAAAAATCTAAATGATGTCACCTGTTAACTTACACAAACTAAAACAAACAAATGTGTTACTATATCTGCCCCTCCAACTACAGTATATATAATAATTGATCAATAAGATATAGATAACTTAGTTTACAACACATCTTTATGATCAGAAGTAACCAAATACATTTCATCACATATCGCTATAGGGATAAACATTCTTTTAAAGTCCCAATGAATTCTGTCAAAATGTTTTCATCAATAATAAATAATTGCCTCATATATACTGGTTGATAGACTACATGTTATACATTGATCAGCAAAATAAAAGGAAAGCACTTGTTTTAGGGTGGGGACATTACTTATCATATGTATTAATTTTGTTATGAGTCACATTTATAAAACAAGCTTGATCAAATATTGGTGAAACTAATTTTAGGTATAAAACAGCTCCCTTTTCACAAAACAAGGGTAAAATAATTTTATTTAAAGTTAATTGTGTGTCATCGTTTAAAATGCACAATGTTTACTTTAAAATGAAAAAAAAAAAAAAAAAAAAACACACAAGTTGTTTAGCTCATTTCAATAAATGTTTTACTTTTTAAGGTTTTCAATTCCGGTAATTATATTTATTTTAAGTCTAGTAATTAATCCTGGTCAATTATTAAACTTCAACAGATCCAATGGCTGATATGTATTTATCAGTACCAACAACAAAACACTCTATTCTGTAGCATGTCCTCTACTTTAACCAGAAAAGGAAGATTGTTAAACTAAAGAGATACAAAAAAAATGTGACCTTTTTTTTCCAACAAAGGGGCTGTCTTGCACTTTAATAGTATTAAAAATGAAAAAAAAATGTGCCTTTCTCATTAAATTGCTGTCATCAGTTCTGCAGTGCAGTGCTCTTTCTCTGTTTGATATTAAAGCTGTCAACACCTCTTGCTAGGTTTGCCTGTTTTGGGATAGGCGAATAAGGTCAAACAGTCTTGCTAAGTTTAGATAGTGTTTAAATATAAAGCATTTCTAAGTGATTCTCTGTTTGAAATTTAAAGGTCGTTAGTTTTTGATTGCATGGACTTCTTTTGTTTCTTAATTGTTTCATTCTTGGTACAGTGTACACAAATCCAAAACGACAATGAAGGGGAGATATTGTATGAAAAAGAAATTGTTTTGTTCTCAAACTTCCTGTATTGTTATAATACAGACTCCACTCCACACTCCACTTAAACGACTCCACTCCACTCCACTCCATTCAAAATTTTTACCCCAAGCCTTTGAATCACAGCTATACAAAAAGTACCCCTAAAATGCTGGAAAATCACATATATAAAAATACACAATACACAAGGGAAGAATCGAAAGTAGCACACGATTTTTAAAAAAAAAGTAAAAAAAACAACTTACTTGAGAAAAGTTACACAAATCCTTTAAGGAACTAGCGCAAATAATGTCCTAGTACTTATCCAGGCTAAAATATTCCAGATATATCCATTGAAAATAGCTTTTATCCAACTAAAACCCCAGCTTTCTGCACAGTGTGAAACTCTTTGCCCAAGAAAAGATAACTCACCCGGATTTGTGTAACTTTTCTCAAGTAAGTTGTTTTTTTGACTTTTTTTTTAAAAATCGTGTTCTACTTTTGATTCTTTCCTTGTGTATTTTTATATATGTGAAGTAGAGAACAGAGTGGATAAGATGCCCCTGTGGTTGAATTCAAAAGATTAAGGAAACACTAATAAAAAGTGCTTTTTGGACTTGGAGAAAAATATATCATGTAAAGAAGTGTATATTGGGACTATTAAGTTAATTTTCAACATAGGCTACCTGCCTTTTATTCCTCAGAAAATATGTTCAAAGACAATAGACTATTTGAGAGCAGAAATCACTTAAATAGGGAAAATAAATTTACTTTTTCTAACATAATTCTAAGAATATTTTTATCTATTGCAAAATGTGTAATTTATGTAAATAACCATTTTTTTCTATCTTACTTTTAAGGGCAGCCACAGATCACTAATGAGATAAAACTACACTATAAATAGAACTCTTTGTGTGCAGTGTTTAGAGCTTCCTTAATGAACATTTCATGAACAGGGGCTTGTCATGACTTATTTGTGTCTTTTTTGAATTTATATTATAAAATACAGTAAAACTGGTTTAGTGTAATCACGAATACTGCGAATTTATAGATATAAGAAGTTATCTTGGATCCCCAACTATATGAATTTAATGAATTCCTTATTAGGATATAGAGAAGTAATTTCAAAGGTTTCTTTGACTTCATTATAGCCAATCTTTACTGCATACATGGTATAGATTTTATAATAAGCCTATAGGCCCCTGTGTTTCATGGGTAAATTTTTAATTTGTAAGTTGATGTTGTTAGATCAATAGATAATCACAGTCGGTTTAAGAGCCCTACAGAGGTTATGTTAAATAATTGTTATGCAGTGTACAAAATGACAACTTTAAATAAAATTTCCTTCTTACTTATCACACACAGATTTGCATGTTTTTAAAATAATTTACCATAGCATCAGAAAAGCATTTATAAATCCTCTTTTAACAGAGAAATTCATACATGATTACATCTTTCATAACTTATCAAGCACTAGAACATAATAATTAAAAGGAGTTATGTTAGATCTTTAAAAGATCTTAATCTTAAATATTAAGAAAATAAAATTTTGCAGGTCACAAATTCTAATTCAGACCATGGAACCTGCACTTCTCTGCAATGTTTTTGTCCAGTATTATCATGTAAATACAGTGGCCAAGGAACAGCAGACAGACATTTCACCAGTCTGAAGCTTCTACGACAAGTAAGCTATATTAAATATATGTAAAATCTGTCCAAAGATCAAGTCTCAAACGGAACTCAAATCCAGGGCCTCTGGCATACTGTGCCAGTGCTCTAACCACTTAACTACTGAGATCTGATATATTGACTGACTTTCACACACACATGTGAATCTGGTGGCATGTTTATCAAATATAACAAATTTAGTAAAGATTAAGTAAAAGTGAATTTTTCAAGTAGTAATTGAAATTTGAATCTTCATATTCATATCTCCCTCTTCGAATTGTTAAAAATAAATTATAAATATAACTTTGCCTAGAGATGCCCCCCCCCTCTAAAAAAGCAACCCTTACCTAAAAGATTTCATTGATCTTTAGCACTTCATGAAAGTTCATGCCGAGAAGAAATACAGGTGTGAGAAGTGTCGCCTGAGCTTTGGTCTGGACCGTGATAGGCGACTTCATCAGGGACGGTGTGGACAGATCTACAAATGTACAGACTGTGAGGCGGAATACTCCACCATAGAGGCTCTCCAGACTCACTGCCTAAGGAAAGGGCACAGGTGTTCCCCTAAACCTCCCAAGATGTAAGTGTTGAAGAGAGAATTCTGTACTGTTTACTCAAAATACTGTGAACCAAACTATTATTGGTGATTTGTCAATTTGCAATCCATCCATCACAAATTGACGAACATTGAACAAAACATGAAATTTATTTAGTGCTTTAACGTGAGATATACCAGGTTTTTGCTAGTGACAGTGTTTGAAACTCAACATTAATATAATTATAATCTAGTGACCTAGACATGCAGAACTAATTCCTAATAAAAATTGTCAACCCTTTCATTGATTTTCTAACTCTGAGAAAATAATAATACTTTTTAGCTCACCTTAGCCAAAGGCTCAAGTGAGCTTTTCTGATCACAATTTGTCCGATGTCTGTTGTCGTCATCGTCATCGTCGCTGGGCCAATTTCAACCAAACTTGCCACAAAACATCCTTGGGTGAAAGGGATTCAAGTTTATTCAAATGAAGGGCCACGCCCTATTTCAAGGGGAGATAATTGGGAATTATTGAAAATTTGGTGGTATCTTTTAAAAATCTTCTTCTTTAGAACCGCTGTGCTAGGAAAAAAGAAACTTATGGGGAAACATCCTCAGGTAGTGTAGATTCAAGTTTGTTCAAATCATGACCCCCAGGGGTAGGGTGGGGCCACAATGGCCGCCCAAAGTTTTACAAAAAAATATATAGGAAAATTCTTTAAAAATCTTCTTCTCAAGAATAAAAAAAGCCATAATTGATCATATTTATACGGAGGCATCCTCAGGTATTGTAAATTCAAGTTTGTTTAAATCATGACCCCCGGGGGTAGGGCAGGGCCACAATGGCCACCCAAATTTTTACATAGAAATCATGGCTTTGCTATTCTTGATAAGATGATTTTAAAAGAATTTTCCTAGATATTTCTATGTACTATAAACCAGCTTTTATTCGCGATGACTTTATTTCGCGATTTACCAGGAGTAAACTAGTTAGAGATGACTAATTTTCGCGATCGAGCCTATTTTGATCTGTTTCAAATAGACAGAGAGACTTTAAGTACTGGTTCGCGGCGAGAAATATTCGCGATAACGAGGCTGTCATGAACTTCGCTATAATTTCTCGCACGCGAATAAAAGTTGGTTTACAGTATTTCTATGTTTCTAGGAAAATTCTTGAAAAATCTTCTTCTCAAGAATAATAAAGCCATAATTGATCATATTTATGTGGAAGCATCCTCAGGTAGTGTAGATTCAAATTTGTTCAAATCATGACCCCCGGGGGTAGGGCAGGGCCACAATGGCCCCCTAAAGTTTTACATAGAAATATATAGGAAAATTCTTTTAAAATCATCTTATCAAGAATAGCAAAGCCATGATTGGTCATGGGACTACTTTTGCATATAAATTATTCAATAATAATCCAATTTCTACTTTTTCCCAGCCACTGTGCTCAGGTGAGAGATGTGGCCCATGGGCCTCTTGTTAGAAAATTATTTCTGCAATTATGTTACTTGCAAATACTTGGGCTCAGTCACCTGTTGCCAATACTTGGACTCAGTCCCCAGAATTTCAGTCAGTAGACAAGTTCTGTTTTTTGACTTCTTACACTTCACATCCAGTAAAATAAGTCAATTTGAAACACATTTTTCAATTAGAATGTACATATGCAGAAATTTTAACATCATTCATTTCAAACTCTCTTGACAAATAATTAAATTTTAAAAATTCTTTTAAAAAATTTAAACATTTGTTTCAGTATGCAATGTTTGATATTTTGATATCAAATATCTATTTTACAGAACTGAGGAAAAAGTGGACGGACAGAAGGATGAAAAGTCTCCTGCCAATCAGGGTACCTCAATTTCCACACAGACGTCAGGTGTAGGCATGATGACCCCCTTATCATCTATACCAGTGATTCTGGTAGAAGTTACCCCCGAAACACCAGTGGATAGAGAAATTCTCACCAAATCTTTGTCCATGAAGCCAATTTTACCCAAACCATCTGTGAAATTAAAAGTTCAACAGCAAACCCCTCCTGTTTCAAAGGTCACCACATCTGGAAAGACTGGCACAGAGGATGCAAACTCAGAGCAACTTGGGGATTTTTCATCCCAGACTACAGAGAAAAGTGAGAATTTTAATGAATCAGTGTCTGAAGGAATACAGGCTTCTATAGGAGACAAGAATTTAGAATCAGGGGAAGATGTTCCATCATTATTGGAAAAATCATGGTCATCTACTGGAATTCAGACAGCAATAACTTTTAAACCTCAAAGAAAGAAGCAGTTGGGCACTGTCGCTCAGACCCAAACTTCCGGAGACATAATCCTGAAAAAAGCCATGGAATCAGCCGACATTCCAATACAGATGGAGTCAGTGGGGACCCAGATGATGCCACAACTAAAGGGACAAAGCTTCAAGGGAAGAACATGTACTATAGAGACTCAGACACAAAACGAAGGTCCATCCAAAACAAAGAAAAGGAGAAAATCTCTGTTAAATGTATTTATGACCGACTCCATTGCTCAGACATCAGTGGAAAGTAATGCTGTCAAAATGGATTCCATGTGTCAAGTGGATAATTTCAAACATTTTACACTGGTTGACATCAGCAAGAGCTCAACAACACAGGCAGCTCAAACTGAAAAATTCATACGAATTGACACAATGTCACAGACTAAAGAACAAGAGGGAACACAAAGCTTGCAAAAGAAAAACAATGTTTCTCAAAATGGACAAAAATTAATGGGGAGAAATGAAAAATCTTCCAGTGCAACAGGCAGTAGCTCAAAAACAAATCATCAGATCTCAAATTCAACAGTTCAGTACAAAACAAGAATTACGACCCCAGGAGAGCATTCATTCTCAGATGCGGAGACTGGGCCAGTACTTAGTGTTATTGAAGAACAAAGGGAATCAAGTGAAGAGAGAATTTTCTCATCAACATGTGTAAATACTGAACCCATCTCCCTTCAGATTCCTGAGTCAGGTGTCACATCAAGTCTGAATATGTCCAATGAGAAAAAGGTCCAAGTCCCATCAGCGAGTGTAAATACTGAATCCATCTCTCAGCAAGTTTCTGAGGCAGATATTTCATCAAATCTGAATAGCAGGGTCAATGATATGGGAATACAGACATTTGAAGCAGATTTTGAGAGTTTTCTTCTTTCACAGTGTGATAATTTGGGGAGACCAGGGCAGGCAGAGACACAAGTTCAGACACAAAGCACAGCCACAGATATTGATATGTTCCCACCTGAAATTTCCATGGATACTCAGACACAAACAGCAGACTTAGATATCATTGATTCCTGGATGAACCACATGGAAACACAGACATCAACAGACCCAGCATTTAACTCTTTTTCATTTAACAATATTGAAACACAGACTTTGCCTGACCTGTCTTTAGATACTTCAGATGATTCCAGCTTCATGAATGAATTTTCTCTCACCAGTATCCAAACCCAAACAATGGAGGATGACTTGTATCAAAGTCTTTCAACTCAGACAGACAATTTCCTGAATATGTTTGATTTTCCCTTGACAAGCATCCACACACAGACAAGTGGTCAAAGTGACCATGCTTCGACACAGACTACTCAGTCAAACGCTCAGGTGAATGAGATTGGAGTAGGAAGTGACATAGCAGACGTGATCTACTCCTCCAATACTGAGACACAGACGACAGATCTTGGTCTGTCTGATACCCACACACAGACTGCCTGGGACAGCCTAGATAATCTATTGAGGGAGTTCCAAAAGTGACACTTTACAAAATTACTATATTGAAATAATACACTGTAACTTCACAGTGATAGTTTGTGCATTTGTGAAAGGAAGGTTCAGAACTGCTACATACTCTTGACCTTATATGCAAAGCCCTGTTTTATGAAAAATGCAGAACATTAAAGTTGAAAAAAAAATATGTACAGTGAGAAGTTTGAAGATCTTTTCTACAGTGCACCTTTGTGAAAAAACATTCATATTGAAATCAAATTATTAAAGTTATTTAAGAAATGAATTTAATTTTTGAAGATTCATGAGGTTATGAACTACGACGCTTCACACCGGCATATTTCATGAAGCGCGTTAGCACTTCATGATAAATATGCCGGCATGAAGCGTTGTAGTTCATATACCTCATGAATCTTCAAAAAATTAAATTCATTTCTTATATTTAAATTATTTTTCTGATAACTTGCCATAAATTTACACCGTTCAACTGACATTTTTAAAACAAAACAGTGTGCACTATATTTTTTGACGTCAAGAGCGGTATTATGACGTAACAATGGAGATATTCATGCTTATTCGTGATACATACCTAATGTAGTTCATGAGAAAATATACTGCATTTTATTTTGTAAAGAATCATAGGGGAAATTTATTGGAAATGTAAATATTATTCAATATTGAAATTACGTCATTAATGTAAAAATTAAATGTATTTTATAAGACATTATTTTCAAAGTTCATATAATGAAATATTAAATTAGTTTCAACTAAGAAGCAATGTTTTTAAAAAAAATTGTAAACTATTCAATCTTTCATGCACAGTCATACATGCACTTTCATTATTGTAGAATTCTATGGAAACATTCAGCACTAACTGATTTACAAGGACATGTTAATATTGATTGCTTCTATGTAAACAATGTTTTAAACATTGACATCATATAAATTATATATGTTAGGATGGAGAGATTCTTTTTAAGTATAACTGATATTTATATAAATGTAATGCATTTACTATGTGCAGTATTGCTAAGCAAACACTTGCCATTTAGAGTTGTATTTCTTGGTTATGTTTGTAATTTTCACACCATTTTTGCAATTGAGCAGAATCATTTAAATGTGCCCAGACACAGTTGTGTTGAAGAGATTAAACTGTCTACTTTGTTTTCACTTTGTTTTAAATTTGCCCATTTGCAAAGAGGGCAATAAGGGTAAAAATTAAACCAGGGGCAAATGTTTCTCTGTGTTAAGTGATTTATTTTTTACAATTGTTGTAAGTCAGCAATGTTAGTACATTTGTATATTGCTTTTGTTGTTTTTGTTTTAATCTACATGTGATACAGTGTAACTCATTGTTGTCAAAGCAGAAAACATCTTCTGAAATGGATATCATGAACCAAGAAGGACATCTGTTTGATTCTACTGGTGCAGTGTCTATATATTTTTAATGTTAAGTTTTGATTTCGTCACAAATGTGTTCTCCATCTTATGGATTCTGGGTTTATTTTTAATTATTTACGTTTAAGTAGTATATAATTACATGTATTGTTATTCTGTCTTTTTGAATAAAAATTGTGAGAAATAAATTATAAGCGTTGTTTCTTCAGACTTTATTAATATCTCTTAATCAGTGTACTTTTCAGTCCTATTGTTATTACAAGAAAGGTCTTGTCTCAATGAATATACATATGAAATATGAAAGCCATGACACGAACTGTTCAAAAATTATGGCGAAAAGAAAGTTAAAGTGTGGTAATTTTTTGTTAAAAGTGGACCAAACTATAAGGCTAAGAGGTCAAATTTCGTCGTATCAAAAGAAAGGTCTTGTCACAAGGAATGCACCTGTGACACATGAAAGCAATATCCCAACCCACTGTAAAGTTATGAGCAAAGTACGTTTTTGAGAACAAACAGGCAGACGGATGGACAGGGCAAAAATATGCGCCCCTGAATCTTCGATTATTGGGGCATAAAAATGTTTTTTAATCTAAGTTTGTTAAAGGGGCATGGACACAGTTTCAACTGATTTTTTAAAACCAATTTTAAATTTTTACAATTCCTACCAAAGGCATCATCTGATGATTAGCAAAAATTTGAACATCATTTGTTGATTAACAAATGAGATACAGAACTTAAAGTTCTTCATAAGGTAAACAAGGCTCGTGCCTTGTTATTCTTTACATATAGAAAATATATTTATGACAGAATGAAATTCAGCAAAGCAATAGAAACTGTCGAATCGTATTTAAAACTAACTTCTTTATTGAAATTATCTACTCTGAACGAACATATATTAGTATATTAACCTATGTAAACAAAAACATGACACAGGCCTTGTTAACATAACAAATGTTTGGAGCTCTAAATCTTTCCTGCATCTCGACAACTGACATTCAAATTTTTGATAATCATTAGAAAGACCCTTGTTAAATATTTGTAAAAATGGAAAAATAAATTTTGAAATTTGAGTTGAAACTGTGTCCATGCCCCTTTAAGAATGTACACTGAATTGCACCACTTCACGAATATAGTTTAACATATTTATACAGACTCTAAGTGTGTATTAAAAAATTTCTTTACATCAGTATACCGAGGTAAATATTTTAATGATGAAAACTGATTGGAAATGGAAAACGTACAAGACACTGCAGTTTATCTTTATAAGGACATAAGACATTTCGGAATCAAGTACATGTATAGGTATGATGTGATCCAATCATTATCAATCCATACACATTTTAAAACAGACAGACCTCTAGTTCGGTTAATAATGATAGGCTTTCTACATTGTATACAGTGTTCATTCATAAGAAGAATGAACATGACGCCGCCGTTCTGTTTCAATAACGGTCTATAGACTCCATCAAGTTGAAGGCTCTTCATATTCCTGATTTCTACAGTCAATATTGAATCACTGTTGATCAAAAGTTGCTAGTTTTGAAATTATTTTAAAAAAATTTTAAATTTTGAATTAAAAGAAACACAATTCTTAATTTTTTTGAAAGTTTTATTATAAAGTGTAAAAGTAAAATGATAAATAATAATAACTCCAGTCCCTCATTATTGTCAAAGATTTAACCATGTAAACAATTTTTCCAAGGCCATTGCACTGTAGGCGCACAATAAAAAATTAAGGGAACGGGACTACTTTGTTGTGAAGGACAGTCATCAGACACAAAATTCCACTGACTCTTCACCGCTTCACCGTAATCGTCCGCATACATTTTTGGAAGATGGTTAGAAATGTTAATGACGCCTGCGCAAGACCGATACGATGGCGGGAATGAGCCTGGTACCAGACATTTTGGTTCACAAACTTTACCAGAAGAGTCATAAGCGGTGATGATAGCTTTTCCTTGCCCTAAGTTTGGATGTTTCACTGCTACATAAGCAGTGGTTTCTGACATCGGTTGCCTCTCGTCCACTACGCCATAATCAATAAATTTTCCGGCGTAATTCAGACCGTCCGACCGGATGTACACCTTCTTTATCCCAGAATTCATAGCCTTGCACGTTGGGAAGGTTGCTACCTTCTGTCTATAGACAGAAAAGAATGGCCGAAGTGCACTGTAGATCAGAGGATGATAAGGATCAGCACCAGGTATGTAGTGTCCTCGAACAACGAGGGGGCTTTTAAAGGCATGTCTGGAGACATCTCTTTTATTGACGATTTTTACAGGAATATATGCCCATCTTCTGATATCTGCCACGCCGTCCATAGAGAATAAATTCTGTCTTCCTCTCTCCATTACTGGTGTTGAAGATTCAATTCGAAGTTTTTGGGAACCAGATTTCGGTACCCTTACTTTTGTGATCTTGTTTTCGTAGCTGAATTCCAGAAGATTTGTACTAGGAATCTCTTTTTTGGATAGATTTGCTGTTTGTGAAAGTAATCGCTGTATGTATTGGTTGTCTCTTTTGTTCCGAGTATGTCTCGTCGAACGCGCGAGACGTGTTCTTGGATCACTAAAAGTGTTAAGGAATTGAAAATCGCCAAAATCAATCGGAGGGTTCTGATTTGTGTTGCCCGTTGCACCCACTTCTGCTGCGGTAAGGGCAACACACCTATTGATAGATTGATCACATCGAAGGAAAGGAGATCCGCCACAGCCATTTGCACATTCCGGGGTATTGGCATAAGTATATATGTCTGTAGTGTAGGAGTTACGATATCCATCCAGATTCGTCAACTCAGGAAAACCTTCCATCGTTACACCTGGTAGATGCAAGGTGTTATTGATTACAGGATAATCCGTTTCTGGATTTGCCGATCCCAATGCAACCTGCTTTTCCCTGAATCTTTCCCATATATAATCCACGTGAGCATGAAACATGAAAAAGACGGGATCATGAGCGGCTGTCTCTAGTCCTGACATAGTTCCACCCACCCAGTTATGAACGTTGTTGTGTTGTCCTTCCAGAGTACTGGCTAAATCAACCCCAGTTCCTAGAACGATTTGACTTGTTCTGTTGATATTCGGATCGTTGAGAAACAAGTCGAGACCTTCTGGTGTGAAGAGGGAGCCAATGGTTGCAATATCACGTTCTAGTCTCTGTCCATCCGGTCTGGCTGGCCAATCGGAAAAAGGTCCGTTAACAACAATTCCGTCCCCGTTTCCGACAAGAGCTGAAGAGAAGAACGATGTCTCGACGGGTTCCCCCATGACGAAATCTAATGTCGAGTCCCAGTAGGGCAGACTAACAGAGGGATTCACACGCCTTAAGGCCGTCTCAAACCTGCGAAATGTTATTGAGCAAATGAGCAATGTCATTATCAACATTTGGGAACTGGTATTAAATTTTTTTTACTCGAAATATATTACTAAAAGCAACATTCTAATGGAAAAAGAAACAAGGTAATCATTCCATGAAACAAAATATAGTATCAGTAAGCTTGAAAACTAAAGAAAATCTTCACAATTTTCTTTTGAATTTTGAAAAAAATAAAAGGGTTTTGTAATTTGTCTATATTTCCTAACCAAATTTGTTAAAAAATTCGGGAATTGGTGGTATGACAAGGAACATACTTGTAGTTTACGTTCTCATTTAATAATCAATGAAAATATTATAATGTATCTCATTTGTAGTCTAAAGTTGTGCTCAGATCAGACGAAATTTCCAGAAGAGGAGCCTTTTAGTTTAAGGTAGGCAAATATTTTATATTTTTGAATAGCAGTCATGTTTAAATTGAACAAACAGACTGAATACAAGTTCTTTTAACCTTTCCTTACCTCATACTGCACATTCAATGATAATAACAATTTGAAATCTAAAGAATGAATTTTTCTGTATCGAAAAGTTTTTATTTTAAATTACAAAAACAAGTTCTCTGCAAATCTAACAACATTTTGATTAGATAAGAAAGTCAACAGATAGATTGATGACGAGCATTTTTTTCAACAAATAAACACATACCAGGAGATTCTGACAAGTACGATAAATACAATCATTATAAAGATCTGAACAGAACTCCACATATATCCTTCGGGAGCACAATAGGTATTCCTTTGCAATTTTGCAATAAATTTCCAAGAACCTTGTAAATTTTAAAAATTAAGAATCATCAATCTCGGAATACTTACGCAACTAAATATTCCCTGTGCCATCCCAAAAATGCTGGTCCCTCGTGACCCGAGTCAATGACGATGCCCATATGCATGTTTGCCAATGCATCGTAGCTCTTCAAATAAAAAAAAATTATGTTAGACATGAAACAGACAACAATAATTTTCAAAGAAAAGAAATTTATTTGAATATTTTAATTTCTAGGTGCTCATACTGTAAATCACTCTAAAAATGTAAAAAAAAAAAAATGTTGCAAAAGTTGTACAATGGACGTAGTAGCCTTATGTCGCACGAATACGTAATATGAAGTATAATTGTGCTCACTTGTTCATATATAAGTGTTCTGTTGGTGAACCAGGTATGCCAAAATGCTGCATTCCTCATAATAATCTACCCATCAATTTTCAAGTTGATGAACTGTGCTAACTTGTTCATATCTAAGTGTTTTGTTGGTGTGCAAGGTATAACAAAAATGCTTTATTCTTTATAATAACTTACCCCATCATTTTTCGAGTTGTTGAATTGTGCTGACTTGTTCATATTTAAGTGTTCCATTGGTGCACAAGGTATAGCAAAATGCTTTATTTCTAATTATAACTTACCCAATCATTTTTCGAGTTGTTGAACTGTGCTCACTTGTTCATATTTAAGTGTTCCGTTGGTGCACAAGGTATACCAAAATGCTAATTAATTCTTTATAATAACTTACCTCATCATTTTTCAAGTTGTTGAATTGTGCTCACTTGTTAATATTTAAGTGTTCCTTTGGTGTACAAGGTATACCAAAATGCTTTACTCCTTATAATAACTTACCCTATCAACTTTCAAGTTGTTTAACTGTGCTCACTTGTTCATATTAAGTGTTCCATTGGTGCACAAGGTATACCAAAGTGCTTGATTCGTTAATATAACTTACCCCATCATTTTTCAAGGTGTTGACGGCATCAAAGAAGGCCTGTCTCTCTGTGTCACTCAAGGTTCGAATCTCTCTGCGAACTGCAGGTGGCGCTGCCGCTTGTCTTTTATACCTCGTGTACCTATTCATACGCCTCTTCATATTCATTTCCCGCTGAAGGGACTTGATGTAATTAATGTTGTCGTGGCTTAATTGTAAATGGTAACGTGACGATGAAGTTTTCCAAAGATACGAGTTGATACACCGACTGTGAATGCCGTAGGCAGGCGTTGTATGGACTTTTGCAACACGAGAATAAAAGTTATAGCACTCTTTGAACAGGTCCGGAAGTTCACATTCCCATACTGCAGCGTATGTTCCCATGACGAAGAAACAAAGAACGCAAAAGACTCTCTGTGCCATTTTCTGAAATGATATGAAAATCTTCCTATTAAAATGAAGCGGATATAAAGGAATTTTTTTTTGGTTTAATGCAGTCACCGAAGGTAAATTTTGCAAAGGATATTAAGCGAAACGTCAAAGATTTAAAAATGAACTCTTAGATTTATTTCTCTGTAGCAAATGCATTTAATGACCTGAATGACCTCCAGTGTAAAAAGGATATGGAACAAAGGAATGTCAATGATCAAAGCAAAATTTTCATGTTCGAACTTTAAAAAAATCTGTTTCTTGACTTTTTTATCTTATAAGTTCATTTCAAATGTTTATAATTGTCAAAATCTGAAACTGAGCGTAAAAAAGCATGTTTCCACTCAAAACGACATGACACATTATCGAATTCCTTCATACTGCTACGTACAGGTACTAAAAGGATAAACTTTTAATTTTGTTTCCTTTCTTAAACAGTCTGTCATGTTGATCAAATATTTTTTATAACTGTATAAAATCGTACTATAATTATTAAAAAAGATTTTTTATTTCTGAAACTAAATATGGGCGGGAATTTTCTTTATACTGTCAGTGGGTTTTAATACTAATTTGTCAAAAGATATTTTTGTAAATTTCAGAATAGCTTGTACGTTTAATTTTGTACAACGACATATTTTTTGTAAATACCAAAAACCAAAATTTATAGTTATTACGATTATAAATAGGACTTTGACATTTACCTCCTTAAATTAATTGCTTGTTACAAGACCCTGGGTTTCATAACGCGGATATTCTTTTTCTTTAAATATATTTTTGTAACAAATAATATATTTGTTTAATTATAAAGAAGGATAAACTATTTCTGTCATATTTTGGAAGATATTGTATATATTGACAGCATACAAGTATTTTGTACAACATTAAAAGAAGAAGGTTCTAACTCAATGTAAAAGGTTCTTTAAAGTCACAAGGACCGTGATCCTAGTATTTTTAAAAGGGCATTGTAACAAATTCTAGTAACCAAGCGTCAATGAAAAATAATTAATTATTTGACGCTTTACGTCAAGTTGACCGTATTTTAGCCCATTTTGGACAGATTTTGAAATAGTTTGGGAAAATTACACGGAGGATGGTCGGTTTTGGTGTTTAATTTGCAGGAATCATTTGTACGAATCATTGTAGTATAACTTTTTAAGTGCGCCCAGATTCCTCTCGAATCCAAAGTAACTTCGCCCGAATTCTTTAACGTTTGGATATCAATATGAAATATTCCACATCTAGTTTCTGAGATAACAAAAAGGACAGACGATTTAAACTATAGACAATATTAAAGCATTGTTTTTAAATGAAATGTTCGAATATTAAATAAACAAGAAATAAGTTTAAGGACAGATGATACAAACAAACAAAGGGAGCCTAGATTGGTTTGAAAGAAATTTTGAACCTTCAAAATTCTATCTTTCTGCAATCATCCTTATTAATCTAAACAAATATTTTCACTTCAAATCCCATTATTGTGAAACTTTGAATGAAAAATTAAAAACTACGTGGTGAAACCTGCTCATTTTATTCATTAAAACATGACTCAAATTGTTATTTTCAATGTTTTTGACAACAGTTTTCTTGTTATATTATTTGTCCTTTAAAAAAACAATTTAAGCAGGTGTTTATAAAATGCACCACAAAGACAAAATAATTTACAAACAGCCTTACCTCACGTTTTGTTGAAAAAGTCAAGGAAATCAGAAAAAATATGATAATTTTGCTACCATCCAGCGTTTGTACGTGTAATTAAAAATGCTGAATTCTGATTGCACCACTAAACGGTTCCCGAAACCCGATGCGCTACTCAAATTTACGATTATTTGAATGATAAAAGGGAAACTCATTAAAAATAAAATTTCATAAAAACAATTTTCGAATAAGAATGACGTGAAATCTTGACAAGCTAGTGCCTATAACTTTATTCACTCGCCATTCTGGAATCAATCTGGTACAATGTTATTCAAAGTCTCCATAACTAATTTGAAAACGAACCCTTTCTTGAAATAAAACGAAGGACCTACATATAGGAATTATTTCATAGACATATATCAAAAACTAATTGTTAATTCAATTACCTATCACTCACACTTGTAAATGTGGTTTCATAGAGGAGTAGAACATTTTTTATGATGACTTTTTTTGAAGTTTCTTTTTTATTGCTTTCATAAATATATGTATTTTGGTTTTGCATTTAGATTCACTTAGAATACATTTTAACGAAAAATAATTATATGATCTTTCCAAGAAGCAAAACAAGCCATTTCTGTTCACCACAATCAATAAATTATTTTTTGTATCAAATTAAGTTACAGGAAGAACTAACTGAAAGCTTAAAAGCAACCGATTACGCAGAATTTAGACAATGATTGAACAATAAAAAGAAATCCTTACTTTTTAAGAGAACAATTTGGAAATAACAAAAATGGCATTGTTTTTTTCGAAGAATAAAACTGTACATATTCAATATTCAATTTTCTGAATGCATGGCTCTAGAATTGAAAGGGTTCTTTGGACCTAGTAATTATATAAAAAAGGAAATTCACGTTTTACAAATGAAAAACTTTTTAAGAATACGCTAATGTAAGTTTAATTTAAGTCCCTTGGAGAATATTTGACTCATATTGAAACCCAACCAATTGCCGGTGAAGGGCTACTAATTTTAACTTGTACTTGGCTCTTAATGACCTTTGAGCACGGCGAGATCTTCTGCCAGAAATATTAAAAAAGAATCGTATTGTAAACTCATGAAATTTATGGAGATAATGAACAGCATTCCAGTTCAAAAGTCAATTAAACAGTACAGATAAGGAGGCAGAGCAAACACGGACCTTTTAAACATCAGAGGTGGGATCAGGTGTCATGGAGAAGTGAGCATCCCCTCCTGTCAATCGGTCACATTCACCCTGTCATGATCGGGAAGTAACGAAAAATTATACGTGGATAAATCAGTATGTAAATAATGGCCTAACAATTAGTATGAAGAACGTTTTACTTTTGACTTATTGATATAAATACTTATACTTACCCTGAGATGAGTCACTTTGTGTATAAAGTGGAGAATCAAAACTTTACTGAAATGTCTAGTGCAAAACCAGTAACTATTGTTCCCTATACACCAGTCAGGAGTGATAGACCTGTTATCAGTGAAAAAAAGATTAATCAATATGACGAAGAACGCTACATAGCATATCAGAAATATGAAATGTCTTTCAGAACATGGTAGATTTTTGTTATATATTTCTTAAAGAAATTGTGTATTTTGTTGTTCATGATAAATTAATTTTAAAAAGTTAGGTCATAGTCGATGAAAATCACAATTAATTAAGACTACCTATTATTAATTATTAACCAAGTAAATTGCTAGCTGTTAGCGAAATTTTTGGGCGGGCTTCACATCGACATGCATTGGACATGCTTTTCTGTCATGTTTTCTTGTATTCAGACATTTAGAATTCAGAAAAAATTAGGAACGTTGTTTTTAAAAAGAGAGGTTATTAGAATGCAATATAAAGCAATAAAAATGAATTTTCATTTGTTGATTTAAAAAAAAAGAAGATGTTTGGTCATTAGAAAAGGGGAAAAATCACATACCTTTCCTCCAATCCTTGAACGCACGTCTATTGTAACACAGATAACCCTTTTCCAGTTGAACATAATTATTTTTACACTAACCCACAAGGTAAAATGACGCTTTTATTAATTATCATACTTTGACAAATGTTTGACAATGGTAGACTGCCTTAATGTAATTATAATTAAAGCGATATTTTTTTTTACTTATCACTCTACCGAACTTGACTTTTTTCTGTATAATTGTAGAAAAATATACTTATATTCAGCTTTTTATTTTTTGCTTACATTTTGGTTAGAATATAAAAACAAAAATCAAAATCAACCAGTAATTGTGCAATTGCTCTTATCATTCGTGTCTTTTTAGTAAAAATGCTTAATTTTTACATATTATTTGTTAAAATTCAATTTGCGGTTGTTTCTTGTGTTTTGGTGTGTCGTACCAAGTTATACCCATCACGATATTCAAACTTTCCATAGTCTTGATTAAAAGAGTCTTTTATGTTTCATTTTTAATAATTCATTTCAATGTTTCGTTTTCTTTCCCTTCCTGAATAAATATATTCATATATAATAAAAAGGAACTAAAAGTAAGTGACGTCATTTCAAAGATTTTTTCCCCATATCCTAATAAGTGTATATATATGCCCTTTGTTCTAAAATTACATGTACTATAATTTAAAGTCAACTGAATACTTAATGATTACTTAAGTTTAAAAAAAATAAAGTATCATTTCATCATTAAGAAGTAGTTAGTTAAAAACTTTATAATGATTGGATGTAATTCATTTCAATAGAAATCGAGGCTTTAATTTAAAGTTTAACTGAATACTGAATACTTATATTAGTTTAAAATAAACCTCCAAAGTATCATTAAAAAGCAGTTTGTTAAATACTGAATAGAAGATTGGATGTAATTCATTTCAATAAAGACTGGGCCTTTATTGAAAGTATAAATGAATACTTTATAGTTACTTTTAAATAACAGTGAAAATCATTTAATTATTAAAAAGTAGTTTGTTAAAACTTAATTAAAGATTAAATGCATTCCATTTCAGTATACAACAGGGCAAAATATTTTTTTTAAGAATTGTCATTATGTTAATGAGGGCAGCAGATGCGTGTTTTACACGTGTGGTTTACAATGTATGTCCTGGTTCCTTTTTCTCATTAAGCGGACAATTAATACCAAACTACAAAATATAATTAAGATTGCATTGGTGAACATTGTTTTTTAAACAATGTTAACGACCTTTGAATTGCTAAACGTGGGTGATTAAAAATGTCACGATGACCCAGAATTTTCTTTTATGATATTTTTTTAAATAAATTCCGTAGACAACCTCTACAGTTCACATATAAAATTCGGTTTTAACCTAACATGCTTTTCTGAACTACTTAATTAAATGTACAATTTGGAAAGTAGATATATTGCTGCTTAGCATAAGTGTAAATTGCAATTATAATCTACATTTTTCATTCATAGATAGTTATTTTTAGTTAATGTAGTTGCTTTTAAATATATAATTAAACAAATCTTGTTCTCGCAGAACATTTTGAGCATTGAAGAATCACTAGTATAGCATTACTTAAGTTTTACTTAGAAAATGCATTGCGGTCAAGAAATTTTTGCTCTCACCACGTTATATTGAAAAATAAATTGTGAAGATCGTACTCAAATCATTAAATGAAAAGTCCATTCAGACAACGAATACTATTAACAAAGCCAATGCGGACTTCTGAAAACAGGGTTGGCATTAGGTGCCACTGTTTTGTGGCAACAACAGCTCTTATGCAACCCCCTAATTAAAACAAATATTAGCGTCAAATTATGAAAATCGGAACTAATTCAAAGATTGCCAAACACAGTAATAAGTTTAAAAATAAGTGGAAAGTTCTTTAATGAGAGCGATGTTCAATATTCCCCAAAAGGTTCTGTAAAACATAATACATAATATCCTATCTGCATTCATGCCAAAAAAGAGGAGCAAGAATTGTACAAAGTAAATAGTGAATTTGCAAAATATTATATATTTCATGCAGTTTATTACTTTGTTCAGTTGCAATATTATTTCTTAAGTATGTATTATATAGTACACATATGCAACATGTTAGGTTTAAAAAAAATTATATGTCGGAAAATATAGAATTGTAAACGATCGAGTAATGATATTTAGTCCATTATCTAGATTCGTGAGAAACTACCCGGCGGGTGTGACTGGTAACTCCTTGATGGCAGCTAATCCCACCTCTGATGTTTTAGACGTCCTTGAATCTCTAGGAATCATCACTGTATATTCAATTATACGGGATAACTCATCCAGTAGAAGTCTTAATATACTGGCTGTTTATTTATATTCACGATCATTGTCTTCCGAAATATGGCTAAAATATTGTCGATTCGGCGTTAAACACCAATCAGTCACGATTAAGTATGGTATTTGTTTGATTGTTCTTTTCTTTAATTTGTCATTTTTTTTAAATATAAAAACGATATTTCTTTATAATTTTTTTCTTCATTAGATATCGCTGAAAGTATTTATAAATAAATTTTATACTGAAATATTTCAATTATTTCAAGTAGTTTCACTCAAATTTAGACACGAAACACGGAATGTTAACCCTGATCACCAGACACAGACTTCCTGTGTAATGCTAAGTGTATATAGATTTTTGACATCTTGGGTATTGGGTGTCTCAAGGTAAATAACACCACTGTTACTTGGACCACTCCCCCTCCTCAGGTAACCGTACGGTAAAAAAATTGGGTCTTTAACGCAACTCGAATGTTGTAAATTTTGAATAACATATTGGAGAATAATTTAATTCTGATTGTAACACTGTATTTGATTGGATAAAAAAATTACTTTATATTGTATAAAATGGGTTGCCTACGTCACAATGACTTTCGTCAAAAACGTATCAATCCGCCTGACGTTACATTCAAATTTTGTACAAATTGAAGTCATTTTGTTAGAACAATCATCTTTTTTTCTTACATCAAATGAATGAAAATTGAATTATAAGCAATGAATTTAATAGCTACCCATTTTATACGGTATAAACTGTATTGGAGCAGTTTACGCTTTTTTATAAACCGCGAAAGCGTAAACTGTTCCAACCCAGTTTATGCCGTATAAAGTGGGTAGCTATTAAATTCATTCCTTAAATATTGCAAAATTTGCAACTTACTTTTCATTAAAAAAAAATCATTGACCTTCACCAAGAAAATTTACGATTAACATCATGATACCACCCTCTTTCCAAAAAAAAAAAATGTTTTTAGATTTGACTTTTTCTGGTGATTAATAAATATACTGTGAAATAATTTTCATGGTTTTCAAGGTATGAAGAGACCCACGAATTTATGTCCACTACAAAATTATATATTAAAAAAAGTATACCATATATTATACTGAACAATTCTCCAACCACAAAATGAAATCCCCATGCATGAAACAACATATTTTCTTCAAACAACGAAAATTTGACCCGTCGAAAATATGTATTTTAACAGTATATCGCCAATGAAAATTATAGTGATTAAGTTTGTTTGTGATTGTGTAACGTCCCTCTCGAGAATTTTTCACTCATATGGAGACTCCTACAATAAGGTAATTAAGGGTAATGTTTAACCAAATTGGAAAGGATTTAAATACATCAGCAGTGTTGTTTAAAGTCATTATTTCGTAAGTTCTATGGTCGACACAATGACCTTGTCAGCAAATACAATTTATCATTGAGTCAAATTCTGACTGACGTTTTTTCATATTTATTTTTAGGCCATTATATACACAGTAAATTGTCGACATGTTTTTCGTTATTTCCCGATCATGACGAGGAGTACTCCAGCATGCTAGAGATTCATGGCGAGATACTTTTGACCTGGCGCCGAGTAACCTCTAGCATCCATTGTAAAAATTCCTGAACATTGGATAATCGCAAACTTGTACGACAATAATAATAATGATAAATGAAAATAATTAAATTGAGCCCTGTTTATATAAGTAAAAACCCCCAGTTTTTATTTATGCAATGTTTTTTTTTCTATTTTTGCATTTTAAGTTTCACAAAAATTCTTATAGATAAACAAGAATGGATGCAGAAAGGCAGTATGTCAAACGCAAAGGTTAACAATTTCTATATATATTTTAGAATTTTATTATTTGCAGCATTTACAAAAATATGTCAAAGAATATATGTCAATCCAGACATCCATTTTATACATTTTTTTTTCTTTTTGCACATATAAAGATACAAAATGTTACCAAAAAATGTGTTGACTGATTACTTAAGGGACAATATCCCTCTGCTCCGCATTTCACGACTTTTTTTTTTAAATTCCAAACATTGATTTTCAGCAACAACTATAACATTCAATTCAAATAAAAAATAGTTTGAAGTATGAAGCGTTGCTTACTTTTTCAGAAATGAATGATATGTCAAATCATGATTTGAAGAAAATTTGATATGGTCATTAGAAAGATCAATTATTTTTAATCTCACAATTAAATTAGAAATATGAGGTATATATAAAAATAATATTTACTCTCATACCTATCTAATTCCCTTTAGAAAACATACTGGAGCGATGCTTTGTAAATCAGAATATCAAATTGTTTTCTGTGCATGTAAAATAAAATGCATCCATAAACAAGAGTTATCGTTCCATTATCGCCTTTGAAATAAATTATTAATTAAATGTTTATAAACAATTCTGCAGCTGTTATTTCTGTACAATTAAAAGACTTACACGTTTAGAGATATATTTTTTATCAATTTACATCGTTTAAAGGAACTGAGTATAAATGTTTTAGGTAAACTATTAAAAATAATTTATAAATATACTAGCAATAGAACTAGAAATCAACCTCTGAACGATGGGTTAGGTTTGCTTGAGTTAACAATAAAATGGTCCTTATGATAGAGATTGGTAAACTCTGGCATGACAAATTACTGAATTTCGTGACAAAATGTCTGCAGAAAGTTATCTCTCTTATCTGTAGAGTTATCTCTCTTATCAGAGTATCAATGAACCTTAAGCGGCATTTTTAAAAAGCAGATTTTTCGTGCAGAAAGCTTTTGAAATCTAATGAGATTGTAGTTTGCTAGAAATCGTATTTATTTTTATACAATCATAAATTTAAGTTCTTAAAAATTATTTTCACTTACTTCAAAAATGTCTATCAAGCCGTTGATTG